ATTATTGCAAATCAAAGAGTTATCAGCAAAAGAAAGAGCACAGCTGTTCTAAAACCTAAAATGTTTTATATTATCTTATCGGTTCATTAACTTTTAAGCATTTTTGTAAAGAGATCCCAAAACATAGCTTTTTAATGTAGAAAGTAAACTACATCGCAAACCTAATAACTATTTAGTCAATTACAATATTTTATATCATATTACAGATTTAGTCAATATTTTATATATTATATAAAAATTCATATTTTTTAAAGCTTTTTCAGAGTGGGAAAAAATTAGTTTGGAACTGTTTTATATAGAACCCCGCCCGAGAAACCGATAAAAAGAAGAGAAGACAATGCAGTGCTTGTGAATAACCATATATAATAATAATCAGGAAGCGAAACCTCAGTCATCTGGAAGTGGGCGACGGAATGGAAGGGAAGGAAAGGGCCCTTCCAGACGTCGGATGACGATGTCGGCTTATCGACTTATAGACAAGAACGTTGTTGTTTCTGTTGGTAATGCCATTTAGGACAATGCGGCTTTGTCGTTTTTGCATTGCAGTTTTTGCAATTTGTTTGTCTAGACCAACAAAAGCGAACAGAAATTCCCATTCCTCTGCTTTTTCTGATCTTTATTTTTCTTTTTTTTTTTCCTGCACTTATCAGTACTCGCAGCAGTCAGTTTTCCCTTCTCTGACATCAACAATTGTCCAGCAGGCAATTCTCTAAATAGCCTATTAACTATGGCTAACCACTAAGAAGAAGCAGAGTAGTGTGCGTAATTGAGAAAAAGGGAAAAGGAAAGGAGGATATAGGAGTTATAAAAGAAAGAGAAAAAAGAAAGAACAGCTGGCATATGACAGCTGATCAGGCTGGAAATGTGATTTAGAATCGAAGGCCGAACGATTTTGGCCTTGTTAATACAAATAACCAATGCTATATATCGTAAAGGTCAACAAATGAATATTTCCGAAGAAATTTACTAAATTACATTTTTATTGCTTAAAACAACGGTTAGTTCTTAGTTTTTATATTTAAAAATCAACTTCCAAACAAAAAGTAAACCTTTTTTAATATGTAGGTCAAGATGTATCTTTTTCCAGAACTTGAAACTTGAGGAGTTGGAGAAAAGCGACTGTACAACACAAATAGAAGTAAAACAAAAAAGCAACAGGCGTTGGTAAAAGCTTGCGAAAGCTCTTTTTCAGCCAGGCAACAAGTTGCGAATAACAGGACTAACTAAAAAGAGAGACAGACAGAAGGAAACGGGTGAGGTGTGAGAGAGAGAAAGCACTAACAACACTCTCTTCCAGCAGCTGCTTTCTTGGTTTTTTCTTTTCCTTTCGCCTTTCGCCTTTTGGCTTTTGTGTTTGTAATTTACACAAAACAAAACGGCGAGAAAAACAATACACAATTCATTTATACATATACATATGTATGTCTGTGTATGTATTGTATGTTTGTATGCATATATTTTTGGACTATTGCAAAAACGTGCAACAATGACGTCGATGCGCTGCAATAACACGGCCATAAAAACAACAAAAAAGGTTAGCAGCAGCAGCAGCAGCAGCTGGAAAATACACAATCAAAAACGATGTGCCAACTGATGGAATTGAGCACTATCCCGCTCTCCCTCTCTCTCTCTCTAATTTTTTGCGTTTACGTTTAATTGATACAAAGTTTCCAACGCGTGTCTATTTATAAAGGTGTTGCTGTTGTTGTTCCTTTCGGTAGAGGCGCTATTTTCGCGCATTTTGTTTGATTTGATTCGATTGTGATTGCCCAATGTTGTTTCGTTGTTGTTCCTCCTGTAGTTGTTGTAGTAGCTGGTGGCTGGTCTTCTTGTTGTTGTTGTTGCTGCTGCGCCTGCCCCAAAAAGTAAATAAACAAAAGTAGCCAACGCAGCGGCAGCAGCAGCAACAATTACAATAAATGTGTATATAATTGTACAGGTTTGAAAAGTTTACACACACATTTACAGTGGCGGTCAAGAAAATAGGTAAGACAAATCGAATATAAAATATTCCTCAAACACATTTTTTTAAATTTAAGAAAGCTAATAAAATAATTTATGTAAAAATTCAATTTTATTTTTTTAAATATTGTAATAAATAAAACGATGGTTATTGTTAAAAAGTTTTTTTTAATCTAAATCCCATAAATTAGTATTAATTTTAAAAATAAATAATTTCCGAAAATTCTACATTAAACCCTCAGCTAACAACTCAACCTCTGCTGTATACAAACGCACAGGTTGCCAAACTGAAAATTTACGTTTTCCAATCCTTCGCTTTTCCACCCCGAAGAGATCCACGCGAAATGAAAATAATTTGGCGGTCGATTTCTACGCATGTAGAAGTTTTAAATTTATGTTTTATTGCTGACGTTATTTGTTTACACGCACATTTAGCGTTTAGCGCGATCGGTGTATCAGTATTTCAGTGTTTAGTGTTCAGTGTTCGGCATTTAATGTAACCAATGGATCTGCTGACGCAGTAGCATCCTCCATCTTCCATTTCCCATCCCAAATCCATCTCAATCAAGCGCGAATGTTTAGCAAATTAACCAAACGCCAGAGGAAATCCAAACAGACAAATCATTTCTGCCTGTCAATTGTAATCGATCGGCACTAAATGTTCGATTTCTTAATTATTGCAGGCCTCTCACTTTGCAAAACCAAAGAAAAAAACAACAAAAAAATAAAAATAAAAAGAAGAACGGACAAAAAACAATCGGCAATTGCAGCAGCTAAATATTTCGTTTACTTTTAATTGAGACTGCGTTCGTGGGTTTCTTTGTGCGCGCTGTTAGCCCACGCTTTATGCTCTAATTCAGATGGTTAGAAATCGATTGCAACAAAAGGAAAAACAACAGCGAAAACTAACAAACAAGCTGAGAGTTAACCAAAAACGAGTCAAAAAATCAAAGCTTAACCCTTTCAGCAGCGGCTTCTGTTTACACTTCCAAGTTTCTTCAAAGCCCATACAAGGCTGGAAAATGAATCAGCAAAAATCTGAATAAATTATATATACAGTCAGAATTCTGCAAGTATAACTTTTGTGAGTTTTCTATAGATCAGGAAACTCTTTAAGGCAATTTAAATTGATTCTTGAAAATGATTTCGTACTTTAAATTCTGATTTAATCTGATTGAAAACTAAAATTTATTATTATTATTATTATTATTTAGCATTTTAGTGAAAGAAACCTAGTACCAACACATTTTTTAGATCACCATATGTTGGTTCAATATTTGCAAGTAATACTGTTTATTATAAAACCAAACATTTGCTGCTTGTTTTTTTTTTTCAGCTACCGCACAAATTATGTAAATTGCCTGGCACATCTAAGGGTTAAGCGAACGCTTAACGCTCAAGTGAAAATTGGTGAAAATCCACACAAATGTGTCAACAAGTGCTGAGAAACAACAACAGCAACCAAAACAACAACAGCAAAGTCAAAGAAAACAACAAGAGGCAGGCTTTCCAGTGAATTAACTCCCCCTGAAGATTCTTGAGGCTGCAACAACCGAATCTACATCTATATCTATATACATCTAAAGATCCGGTTCAGCAAGTTTACCGCAAGCTAGTTACACTACAACAAAAAGCAAACAATAATGTGTGTGCCGTACACACCTGCGGTTAAAATAATAGAAGCTAAAGCAAGATAGCTAAAGAGTGTACTCCTATATGATATAGTATATGATAGATTCCCATCTCCCGATTAGTTTAAATTATATACTAACTAAATTTTAAAGACTTCCTTTAACCAGTATAATAAAACTAATAAATAATATATACTATATTACTCCTAAAGTCTTTCCTGCTTTACTAAAACTATAATCCCCACAGTGTAACATATACATTCTTGTAACCTAGCACACAATCTGAATACTAATTTCCCCAGGTAATACCATCCCGAATAAGGAACCTCCAGCGTTTACATGTCTACCATTAATTTATGATATTGTCGAACACTTTCTGTTTGGTAAAAATATATAAAAGTGCCTTTAGAGAATTTATGGCAAGTGTAATGATTTGAATCCATTCAAGCACTAACAGAATGTCTAAATTTACTCATTTTCCTAGACGTTGCCAAAATTTATTGTGACTTCTAAAAGATTTACCTTTCGTTGGAAGTGATGGAAAATTAACAAATTATAAACATTTTTTTAATTATCATTTCATTCGTTTAGAAACTTAAAACATGTTTAATATTTGAGATAGAGAATTAATTTATAATGAGTTGGAATAGAATGGAAAAATAATATGTATGAGTAACTAAAAAGATAGTTTTCAAATTTTTATCTGAACTAATAAAGAAAGTACATTTTATAAATTGAAACATTTCCTTATACTTCAGATGAGTATGTGTTTTTAATGCTAAATAAGTTTTTGTTTGACGTAAATGGAAGTTCCTTAAATTCACTGACTACCGTCAAATGATATTGCTCTCTTTAAAAATCATTTTAAATTTCTTATCAAATTGCTTAATTTTAAAGAATGTTTTTGTTTAATGCTAAAGCACAACGTTTTTTCAATGGATTCCAAAATGATTCATTGTCTAGTCATGTTCAGATTCACTGATATCATTGTTAGACTTTCGTGAATCAAATTCTCTATTTTATTCATATAAATTGCATTGTTTTTGAAAGTACAAACTTAAATATTGTTTGTGTTGTATTGCGCTTTTCAAGATTCTTGAAATATATTTTAAGATCACAAAACGCCATCTTTTACAAATATAACTTTCATATTAGTGCTATCAAATTTACCCCAAATTCTGTTACTATGTTTGCTTTTCTATAACTTTTCTTATCAATAAAACACTATTGATTCATCGTATTGCGCTTTTCAAGATTCTTGATTTTAAGATTTAAGATTTTAAATTCACAAAATGCGATCTTTTAAAAATATAACTTTGATATTAATGTTATCAAATTTACCCCAGATTTTGTTACTATTTTTGTGACCCCAATTGTTTTGGGCTGCCCCACCTTCTTGGCTCTCACCTGTGCAGTCGCTCCGTTTGCTCGGCTTCGTTTTGCAGATCGTTGATGGCGAACAGCTCCATTTCGCCGCTGCGCCCGAATATTCCATTGGGGATCTTGCGCAGGAACTTCTTTAAAACACTGGCAATGGTGAATACCGAATAGTTGTCCACGTTGACCAATCGGCCCGCTTGCAGGAAATGTATGAGCTTCTTCATGGCCCCCTGGTGTCCTGGGGCACGGAATACATCCCGTCGATTCGGTGACTCCTTATTTAGCTTGAGGATCAGGACGAGCAGCGGTCCAGGAATGTTGTTGTTATGCTTGCATACCTCCTCCAAAGGCACTCCAAATTTGACCTTTTCCAAGCGATACGGATAAGCGGGTGCGGTGGCAGGGTGGCCGCAGGAGGTGACCACGTTGCCCAAATCCGCGGCACGCCTATGGACGCGTTCGGCCCAGCTGGACATGGTTTTTCACGCAATTTTCTTGCCTGCTTGTGTGTGTGTTTATTATATATATGGGTGTGTATATGTATGCGAGTTTTTCACCAGCGGGGGAAAATGTGCTCGGCAGATTTTATGGTTTTATGCTGGCCACAAACATGTTCACTTAACTGGAATGTTTAGTTCGTTCGCTTGCTTACGGTGCAGGAATTTAATAGAATTTTCTTTATTTCCTATTTTCGAGTCCTAGTTTTAGTTTAGGTTCCCCCTAAACGAAAACACCAGCTTAAGTTGCCTACTTTGATTAAAAAATCGCCACCACTCCTGCTGTATGCATTTTTTTTTTCTTCTTCTTTCGCGTCTCTCTTTTCCACTGCGTTTCTTTTTCGCTTTTCTTCTTTTTGGCCAACGCCTCGGAGCTTTGCTTTGCTTCTCTGCTTCTCGGGTTGTTGAATTAAACGCACGATTATTGCATTTCGCTTGATATTATTGAAATCGCGGCGTTTCACTACTATTCGCGGTTAGTTCAGCACTAATTTAGTTGTGTTATTCGGGGAGTGTTTAATTATTTTGTGGCGTTCGCCCGCACGCACGACTTTTTTCGCTTCGCTGTATATTGACGGAGTGTGCCCGTTCAGCTCTAGTCGTTAATTACCTAAGGCTCTCGGATAAAAACTAATAAGTCCGATAATAAAATACTATAAATATACTATAACGATAAACTCATATTAGGGGCACTCTAAGAACCGTTTGATTTAAAAACTGAATTATTTGGTTTAATACAGAAAGTTTCCAACTTAATCCGATATATATAGATTTCCGAATCTTTTAAATTATGTTTTATGCTGAGATTGGGTAATACACTAAAAAACTTTCTATCACATTGTTATTGATCTTTTTTTTTTCCCCCTTAAGGATATGAGAATAATATACAAAATTATTTCATGGCAATTAAAAAAAAAAACAATTTCGCCAAACTGAAAACAAACAGAGATAATAAAAAACAATATATAAACCATCGAATTAAAACCTAAGAGTGCCCACATTAAGAATTACCAACAAAATCATTGCTTGCAGGATGCTCGAAACGACAGGTGGTACCTAAAATTCAGGGCTACATTACATCAAATAGATGACAATTAAATTGAGAGATATTAAAATTAAAATGGTATTATCATGCATTAAAAACTATTAAAGCTTGGTAACCTCTTAAGCTGCAACTAATTTCTTTATTATGATTTGCCCTTAATGTGACAAAGAACCTCTCCAAATGGCAGCTAGTGACGTCACACTCTGTCACTTTTCTTCTCTTCAGAGAACATGCGCAAACGTCACCTTCTCAGCGGCAGACTCATAGCCGCCATCCCTGATTTAGATAATGCCACCCTGGTTTTTGTTTTGTAAAGTGAAATTGTTGCAAGTCAAACAACAATAACAAAAAGCATTAAAAACGCATAAAAATCGGCAAAAACTTTTGGCTACACAAGTATGTATAAATCAGTAGTCGGCATTGGGATAAATAAATCAATTTTCCACTCATATTTCGAGTGGGAAATGGTAATTAATTTCGTGTTGTCTGCTGTGTGTGGAAAGTAACAACAACAAAAAATTAAGAGTAACGTCAAGAGCAAAAATAGTTTTCCCCATTTTTAAAAAAGACATATATAGAAGTATTTTTTGATTGTGTTCCAAAAAACTTCACCATAAATTGGACGAAATTTTGCAGTTTTCCAAGTATCCAAAGCAGACGAACACAGTCATCGCTTTTGTGACGTGCTCACCTTGAATTCATCAGCAGGCAACAAGATATTGACCCTGCACATAGAGACAATCGCGGGCAAAGAACTAGTAGCCTAAAATAGCCCATATAAATAACGCACTAAATATAGATATTAACATGTTTCGTTGCTCGGATAACTTTTTCACTAACAGAGCACGGCGACAACTGCAAGTGGGTGAACAAATGACCACCGCCGCCTCCACATCGCAGCATGCGACATCGTCCTCGACAATGATGGCGGGTTCAGGATCCATGGCTACTTCGTCTTCTGTCGCCGGTGCCGCCCCCACAACCACGCCCAGCAGCTCGGCGGTTCGAGCATTGGCGATGGAGTACAAGTCATTGCAAGAGGAGCCGGTGGAGGGATTTCGCGTTAAGCTAATCAATGACGAGAATCTATTTGAATGGGAGGTGGCCATATTTGGACCACCGGATACACTCTATCAGGGCGGCTACTTCAAGGCGCACATGAAGTTCCCGCACGACTATCCGTACTCACCGCCATCCATACGCTTCCTGACCAAGGTCTGGCATCCGAATGTCTACGAGAACGGGGATCTGTGCATATCCATACTACATCCGCCGGTGGATGATCCGCAGAGCGGGGAGTTGCCCTGCGAGCGTTGGAATCCCACGCAGAACGTGCGTACCATCCTGCTGTCGGTCATTTCGCTGCTCAACGAGCCAAACACATTCTCGCCGGCCAATGTGGACGCATCAGTCATGTACCGCCGGTGGCGGGACTCACAGGTTAGACTGCATCTTCTAGTCATAGTAAATGTCTAGTATACGGACTTGCATTAGGAAAAGCGAGCGAAATTTATAATCAAAAGTTAACAAATTGGTTCAATTTATTAATTAAAATTATGAATCTAATACTTTAAAGGAGTTTTTATTAGTTACATTTAAAAAAAATATATAAAAAAGAACTTGAAAAGGAATTGAGAATATAAAAAATGTAAAGACTATAATTACAATATTAACACCTCGCTAGCAGTCCGTATACTAGACATTTACCCCCGCTTGTTGGTTTTTTAATAAGGACTTACTGATTTCAGGGTAAGGATAATGAGTATCCCAACATCATACGCAAACAGGCTTTGGCCGCCAATGCCGAGGCCAAACGGGAGGGCATTGTAGTGCCGATGACACTTGAGGATTATTGCTTGAAACCCACGCGCAAGCCCACAACGGAATCTGGCCTGGATGCCAATTTCTATGATGATGATTTCGATTTAGAGACAGAGGACGATCTGCCATCCGATGATGACTTCGATGAGGACGACGACGATGATGATGATGATGACGAGGATGAGGAGGACAGTGCCACGGCGTCGATTAGCAAAAATAATGGCGGCAGCAGCAAGTGCAAGAACAACGGCTTAGGCAGGGAGGCGGCCGCAGCAGGTGCGGACGATGCCGAATCCGCCGATGATAGCGGCAAGGGCGAGACCACATAATGCTGCCCAGGCCAAAGTCGTGTCATCGCTTCCTCCCACTCCTGCCCTAGGCGGCGAGCCACCGCCTTTTCATTTCTCCAACATTATTACTATGATTAATTCTAATTATAAACGTTTCAAAACTAAACCGAACAACTGAAAAAACAATTATTTACCTAGTTTACACGAGGGTAGTTGAAACCATGGTCCTAAGCTGATTTTACCTACTCAATTTTACTTTGATTAACTATAATGATTCGTATAAGCTATCGGTATAAGCGGGCTAACTCAATTTCCAGCCTGTGGCAAGCAATTAATAGAGTTCAGGGACTTCTCCAAATCCTTTTTACGCAGCTAATAAAACAGAAATAGATGCAAAACAAAATGAACCGATCATACAAGAAACTGATTATCAATATACATGATATATACAGCATATGTACTAGGTATAAATTAATATTTAAAAGTATACGCATACACACAGACATTTTTATGAGCGAAAACGAAATACAAATGTCCCAATTCGAGACACAACATCCTATCGTAACATACTGACACAGAGCATCAAGGTAAAAAACAACAACAGCATAACTTACACATAATGAACAATCAATGGATTTCAAAAGTAAAAGCAAATACAGAACCTAGCAATTAAGCAATTTTTAAGTGCAAAATTGACAGACTACGTTGAAATTGCAATATAGAAAAGAAGAACCGTATTGTATAAACAGTAACAGAATTGCAACAAAGATAAATAAGCCAAATAAAATTACAAAAAAAAAGTTTGCTTTTTAAAATTGTGTGCCCCGTTAAAGTATAAAACATCTCACTAGCATTTATTTATTTTGTGTTTAATTTATTTGTTCGACTTTTCGTTTGAATTTTTTAAATTTGAGCCACGAGCTTTGCTCGTTTTCGCCAGGCCAAAAGCGCCGGTGTCAGATCCTTATCAGTAATGGCGGGCATTCGTATCAGCGAGCTATAGACACCGATATCGGCCACCGACATCTGGTTGCCGCCGAAATACTGCTGTTGCTGCAGCCGCTTGTCCAGCAGTCGCACCATTGCCACCTGCGTTTTGTGCGTGTTGCAGCGCAACAGCTGATAGCAAATGTCCAGGACGAGATCGATCTCATTGCAAAGGGGAGAGCCCTCATAACGATATTCGGCTGGACCCACACGTCCCAAGTAACGGATGATATTGACCTCGCCGTAGATGGGCACGTACATGGTGGGTGAGCTGATCATCTCGGTGTGTTCGCCTTAGGGTAAATCATAAAAGTATTGCATAATCATTACAGCTTCGTTAGAGGGAAAGGTTAGAAAGGTAATGAGAGTGACAAAGTAGTTTTAAAGAAGCCACTTGAAAATACTCACAATTCTTCCAGATAAGTGTCACACTGATCTTGGGCAGAGCTGGGTTAACTGGAACCTTGGCCAAGTTAGCCTCAAATTCCTTGGCTGCTGGTCCAATATCAGCCATCGTGGAGTGCGTGAAGGTCTTAACATCAATCGTGTACAGATCCCGCCAGGCATTTTTCAAGGCCAACAGGGCATATGGTATGAAATTGGGGTGTCCATTGATGACAACATCCTGCAGGGGCACCTGATTATTGGTAAATATATTTTAAATAGTTATAGTTAGTTATGGAATATTCATTATTTTTGTGCTTCTTTAAAGACATTCTTAAATTAAACTGAATCCTATTGTACATCTTTTTACTTTTGAATTTAATTGGTTTCGATACAAGGTTTGGTCAACTTTATATGATAGCAGGACATACCTCCTTTAACCCACCATTCTGGAAGGCAGTCGTGTGCTGGAAAGTCTTGCCACAAACGCCGAGACCGGCTCGGATCTGACCCAGTTGCGCCTTTAGGTCTTCCAGCTGTTTTAGAACCTTTTCCTGGCGGGCAGCCACCGATGCTGTGTCGTCCTGAAATACAAATTTAAGGTAAAAAGATTTGTTTGGACAAACCGAAAATTCCTTTGGCCAAGGCCACAAGAACAGAGAGCAAGCGACACAAAACGGAGCGTGGATGCATTATAGATATTTCTGTTTTCTTTGGTTAGTCGGTGGTTTATAAATAGAATTTTGTATTTTAGTTTCGTGGTCTTAACCTTTAGCAGTTGCTGTATTTGTCGGCCTAAAGTGTCCAAATCAAGTGCACATGTGGCTGCGTTTCGGCTTGTCTTGCTGATCCCATTGGCCTCCAATTTCTGGCAAGGATCACACATGCGGGAATGGAATGTAGCATTGTTGACATACGTTGTTTTATTTACTGTCCTTGCGATCCCGACCAAATTTCTGCCTGGCCAGGCTTTCAACTTACGCATGATGATGTGGACGCGGAAATTGATGTGGAGGTGCCGCTGGCCAAAGCATCCGCCGCCAGGCTCACATTCTTCAAAGGATACATGCAGGTGGGCAGTTTGATGTCAAATTGCGGCAGCAGGGTCTTCAGTTCGTACATTTTCCCGAAAAGGTTTTGAAATCACAATATATTATGGAATTTAATTTCGCGAAATGTGCTTGTTAGAGATGGCCGTTTTTAGTAATTAGTTGTGGAACATTGAAGATTTAATATCGGTCCGTAGCTGTTTTTGCTCATCGCTAGAATTTCGATGAAACACATAACTGTTCCCACTTTTAAAATTCTATGTTTTAGTGGGATTAGGTTGAAAAATTCATGTAACGTTAAATACGTAATTTTTAAACTACGTGGATAAAAAATCTAAATGAACTATCAATGTACATATATTTATGTTATAAAACGACTATTAATTTAAATTTCAATTTGTTTCAAATTTATTTTAAAATATATTCCTAGTTCTAAGCTATCTTCTTTTTGGAGGGCACTTTCGGTAGGCGCTTTATCCTTCTGTCCACAATGTTACGCAGACGCCTGTCCGGCTTGACCAGCTCACTCTCGGACATCGGCTCGATTACCTGGCCCTTACGCGTGATAACTGCCGGTCGAGTCAACATACGGAAGGCCGTCTCCGGCACATAATTCCGACCAATTGGTGCACGAATGCTGGCCTCGTAGTCTGCCAGGGATCGGAAAGGAAATGGGATGCTGGAGACCATATGTTCGCGAGCTTGTTTACTAGCCGATTCGTTGACGTAGAGGTTATCCTTGTTTTCGTCTCGTCGCTTTTCTGGAGCAGCCAGCTTGAGAAGGAGTCGCTTGTTACGCCTCTCCATTACTGCTTGTGAAATGCCAGCACCCGCCCAGGATCCCCACCCCGGCAGGGCTAGTTGAAGCTCTGTGTTTTTCAGTTCAGAATCCTTGGTCTTGTCCCGGTTAAAATCAGCAATAATGTCATCATCCTCGAAGGCTTGACTAATGGTTAATTGACGTTCAGCTGCAGCGTCTGCTTCGTCGTATTCCGCCTCTTCATCGTCAATCAGGGCATCATTAATGCCACTAGAGCTCGTCCTCTTTTGTGAAAAGACTAGAGTTGTCACCTTGTTGGGATCTATGGTGTCCACAGCTGGGGTCTCGGTGTTTTCTGGATTACTTTCCACTGGGACTGGGATTTCCTTCTGCGATTCCTTAGTCAAATCCTCATAGTTTAGGGGCTCGTCAATCTCAATCTGCTGTTTTGTCTTTTTTAATTCCAGACTTTTGAGCTTCTTGAGGGCATCCTTTTTCTTGGCCTTCTTTCCTTTTACGGGTACTTCTTTGAGTTTATTTATGCTTTCTTTAAGCTTCTCCATCTTCTTGCTTAACTTGGCTCTCAGTTGTTCATCGTGTGTTTCAAATATCTCATCAATGGACTTGGCTTTAGATTTTTCTTTTAGTTTTATGGTTTTTTTCGGTTCAACTTCTTCGACCTGCCAGCCATTTTCTATTTTAACTTTTGATTTCTTAACAATTTTCTTGGCAGGTTTTGCTTTTGTTTGTGGTATAAGTGGAGTTTCATCCTCATCATCTTGCTCATCATTGTCCTTTTCTACCTCTTCCATATCCTTACGATGTTCCTCCAGTAACTTTTCATCTTGGTTTCGTTTTGTCCAATATTGCCGCCAATTGCCATTTTCACTTTTGATATTTCCGGTTTCGGCATTTTCCACAGTTTTTCGTTTTGTCCACGGATTGAAGGGATCGTAATCACTGTCTTCCTCTTCAGGAGCCACTCTCTTTTTACTGGATTCATCCTCGCTGTCGGATTCCTGCTTTTTCTGAGTCAACTCCCTGCTAACAGCCAATTGCTCAGCCAAATCTTTTCGCACATCCTTGTCGTATTTGGCTCGAACCTGCAGATTCTTGGCCCATGTACCGGTATTCTTGTGCCGCAAACTGGCGCGCTCCTGCACTCGGCTCTTTTCTAAGGCATTGAGCTTCTCCAACGCCGCTTCCGGATTAGTCTTCTGCAGCAGCTCAAACTCCTTCATCTGCTCTAATATCTTTTGACGCTTCTGCAGCTTGTGAAACTTTTTGGATTTAATTTTATTTTGCATGCGTGCTTTGGCTGACTTCTGGGACTCGCGCATCTTAAGGTAGGTCAGCTCCTTGCGACGGGCAAAGAGCTCATCCCGGGTAAGCTTTTTTTGAAGAAGTAGACGCTCCTGTTTGGCCTGCTCCTTCTCATCCGTGGTGTCGCCAATTTGAGCCTTGCGCAGCTCACGTAGTTTACGGTTGCTGGCTTCAAGCTCTTTGGCGAGATTGGACTTCACCCGTGTGTTCAATGAACGCGCACTGGACGATGTGTTCACGTAAACCGTCTCAGACCGTAAGGGAAAGATCTGCAGAGAAATGTTTGGATTAACCACTACGAATTTACATTTAAACTATCTATGGACTCACTTGCGTCTCCGCAGATCGCTGTTCGGCCACCACAGCATCCCAACGACCCAGTTTCTTGGTCACTCCTTCGTATCCAATGGTACGCTTGATGCGATCTGCTACCGGTTTCTCCAGCGGCTTTTCTAGGACCTTTTTGCTGCCCTGCACATTCTTCAGTTTCTTTCCCGTCTGACTGTGCTTTGAGGAGGTGCGCAGGATATCGACCAAATCCTTAAGACCCACCGACCTGGGAGCACTCTCGGTTCCGGTCGACGACACGCTCTTAACCAGCTGGAACTCATCCTGGTGCGATTGGTGCTCGTCACGAGTGGACTTTTGGATGTGCTGCACCTTGCCCAAGCTCCCGATGGCCTGCAGCAGTTTCTTGTGGGCTCTCGGTTCGTAGTGTTCCTCATCGTCACTCATTTTTTGTTAGGAAGTTCAACTAAATCAAATAACAATAAAGAATATTTAACAGCGCACGTGTGTAGAGCAACAGCTGAAATGTTATCGATAAGAGCGAAGGGCCATCACTATTTTTACTAATCTACAGGATCATGGGTGTCGTGAAGGGGTTTATTATAGGTAAATTGATTGGTGAAAATCCAAATGTGATTTTTCTTGTTTTATTACATAAGATCAAAGCAATTCTTTTTTTTATTGAAAATAAATTTAATTGTGACATAATAAATATAATAATAATTGATGCTTTGATGCGCCCCTGAACACTGCTATCGATTGTCGCCGGCAAAGACCGGCTGTCGATGCCGATCGCTTTTGTTTACCATTTCGACATTCGAATCGACATGGCCGACACGAAATCCGGGCCTGGTCGGCACTCGGCTGCCGGAGGAAGTGGTACCAGTGGTCTGTCGCCTTTGGTGCAGGGACCTGCAAACCTAGAGTGCAAGGACTTCCAGGAGTACCTGCGCAGCCGGCAAACTCCAGAGTCGCTTGAAAAACTCTACAACTATCCACCCATTTGTTTGGCCGTGTTTCGGGAGCTTCCCGAGATAGCCAGGCAGTTTATTATACGGATACTGTTCGTGGACCAACCAGTGCCGCAAGCAGTGGTCACTTCATGGGGTGCCCAACGTTGTGCCAAGTGAGTTTAAAAATTTCCAATTTCTTCATACGTCCTTCTAAAACATTTATCCTGCAGGGAACAAACCGAGGCCACCAGCTGCCTAACAGCGTTGAATGTCTGGCGGGTTACAGCCATTCCTGGTGGCCTGTCTGCCTGGGAACTCTCGCCCACTTTCAAGAAGAGCGTGCGTCAGGTGCTGTTAGGTGGCGGAAAGCCTTGGCCTATGACTAATACGCTGGAGAAGGATTCAAAACCCAGAGATATCGCTTTTCTGGACACATATGCCATGTCGCGCTGGCGTTGTGTGTTGCATTATATGGTTGGTACCGGAAATCGCAATGGCACCGATGCGGAGGCCATAAGTCCGGATGCCGTAAGAATTCTTCTGCATGCCAATCTTATGAAAAGAGATGAACGCGACGGAATTACCATAACCCGGCAGGGTTTCCAGTTTCTGCTGCTGGATACACGGGCGCAGGTTTGGCACTTTATGCTCCAGTACCTGGATACCTGCGAGGAGCGTGGAATTAGCTTACCGGAATGCCTGTCCATGCTGTTTCAGCTCAGCTTCTCCACATTAGGCAGGGACTACAGTTCGGAAGGGATGAACAACCAGATGCTGACATTTTTGCAGCATCTGCGAGAGTTTGGATTGGTCTTCCAGCGAAAGCGTAAAGAGGGACGTTTCTATCCCACTCGTTTGGCTCTAAATGTGACCAGTAAGGAGGCTGCGGCTACTGCCTCTGTTGCCATGGACGAGGAGGTCACCCAAGATTGTGGTTATATCGTTGTGGAGACAAACTACCGGGTGTATGCCTACACAGACTCGGCCCTTCAGGTAGCCGTTTTGGGTTTGTTTACAGAACTACTCTACCGCTTTCCAAATCTCGTCGTGGGCGTGCTCACAAGAGATTCTGTGCGTCAGGCACTGCGGGGTGGAATAACGGCTGAGCAGATTGTCTCATATCTGGAACAATATGCGCATCCCAACATGCGGTTGGTCGAGTCTGCCATCAACTCCAAATCCTGTCTCCCGCCCACAGTCGTGGATCAAATAAAACTGTGGGAGCTGGAGCGAAATCGTTTTACCTACACGGAAGGCGTGGTGTACAACCAGTTCCTCTCCCAGACTGATTTCATAACGCTAAGGGACTACGCTCAGTCGATTCATATGTTGGTGTGGCAAAATGAACGAACTCGTACAATGGTGGTTCAGAAGAATGGACACGATGATGTCAAGCGTTACTGGAAGAAGTACTCTAAAAGTGGATAAGGCGGTGAATCCTAGCCAGTGGCCGCCAATCCTAAGGGCGACATACGTCTCCATCTCGTTTTTAAGTTTAATTAATATAATATATTGTTTAATAAGTGAGGGGGAGATATAGCATCGACATATAAGGTACAAGAAAAATAATAAAATTAAAGTACACAGATATAAAAGAAATAATTACACACATTAAAGCTTGACCTTAGATTGTAATTTAGGGTGGGTTAACTTGTAAATTTTCAAAACAAAAACTTGAAGCCCTTAAGGAGCCAAAAGTCTATATAAAAGTTTAAGGTCTGGTTTGACTTTTACACTATACAAGAAACTTAATACGAATCTTAAAAATATATTAATATGCTATTGCACATTTAAACATTTTACACAATCAATATCTTCTTGTTTTGAGTTCGAAAATTCTTTATGACACCTAACGATATTCCTGTTTTCGAATGCTATTTCTTTTCCAAAAAATTATCAAAATTTATAATATACTAAAAGGCCAAAAAGTTAAGAAATTGATTATAAAAAACCAGTCACTCCACCCCAACCTACTTAAATGCAAATGGAAAAAGATCTGTCAGAACCTAATACAAAATTGGACGCTGGGGCATGCAGAGATTATAGTAGCTACCCTTGGCCCAAAAATCCATTCCTTTCCAGCCGCACCAGCCTTTGATTTGAATGGTGGCCAGATCATCGGCCCCCGTGTAATGGGGATCCAAGATCAGGAACTTAACCTGACCCGTTTGCACGCAATAGTCCACGCCGATAATGGTGTGAGCCAGCACACCGCCTCCAATCATCACCGGTGTACCTTGCGTCTGGAAATGCATGGCCAGCTCAGAAGCAACTGTAGCCATTTCAGCTCCAGAAGCAACGTGTAGAATTTTGGAGTCTACGTTAAGGAATCCCTGTAGGCACATACTGATCTCGGTGGAACCAATCCACTGGGAAGATCCTACGAAAGCAGCTGGCTTGTCATTGATCTTGTGCAGATATTCCTGCACCTCCAAATGCGTCGGTATCGGTGCATTTGTGTAGCCCTGCAAGACGAACCAGGAGCAGATCGTCTGCAGCGAGCGGTAGGCGCAGCCCCATCCCTTGTCTTGCACCTGCTGTTGCAGGTAATGATAGTAGTGGTAGTTTCCGCTAACTAAGTACTCTTTGCCGTCGGTTACTCCACTGGGACGGACTCCGATATGGGTGTTGAGCAATGGAGTCCAGGGCGCTTCTTCTGTTTCACCTAGGAAGTGTATCTGATTGGCTCTGCGGAAGTAAGGGCGACTGACGGGCAAGGCAAACTGGCGATGAAGTCGCTTGCGTCTCTCCTGCATACTGGGCTCATCATCGCCCAGATCCTCCAGATATGCGCAGCTCACGAAGTGACCAAACTCCTGGGGATAAAAGTGATAACTAGCGGGCACCAGCAGCTTTCCACTCTCCGATTCTGTGAGATGCTCAATCAGGCTCAACTCGAATAGTCTAAGAGCCCGGCAGATGCTCTCGATGAGCACATCGTAGAGCCGCAATAACTTGGTCTTCCGACACAGAATAGCCATAGCTTCGATCTCCAATGGAACTTGCACCCGGGATTGCTCCTCGGTAGTCACAGCAATGCTGAGAGCTGGATGAGGCGGTGAGTCCCTTGCCACGGGATCCCGACTGCGGGAGCGCATAACATCGATGGGAATCACCTCGTAGTCGCAGCCACTGGGTGCTAATCTCTTGACTGGCGTATTTGGTCCTTTGTTCTTCTTTTTGTCGGTAACGGCAGCCTCCTTTTCATTCCCTGGACTGGGAACAACATCGATAAGATCCTGAATTTGAGAATCACTGGTAAACCGATTGTCTAACGGACCGCAACTGTTAATGAAGATTTTCGTCTGGGGAACGTTGAATACCAGATTGCCATCGGCCACTCGCTTGCGCAGCACATGCATTTCCCGAGACACGGATTCCGGAGTGGCGGCAGTTTGCAGGAAGAACCCGCACTGCAGCCGAGTGAAGCAGAAGTCGTTGTACAACTGATCTGCCTCCATTACCTCATACGGAGCTTCCTCCAGCTTTCCGTGAACAAAGAAAGACGCCCGTAGGCCCACCAAGGTACCCAATTCGCATTGCAGTAGAATGGGATTGTCAGTGATGTCCACCGATTTGATGACCTCATTAAGGTGCGCCTGGCCATCGGTGCAATCACCGAACTTGACCAATCCGCAAAGATCCAGTTCCGCAGGAAACCTATGCTGAATCTGCTCATAGTTCAACTGGCCTAAACTGGATTCAATGTTGAAACTCAAAAGGAGTAAGGTGCCCTCTCCATAAAAAACTCCATATAAACAACCACTGCACTGTTGCTTTGTTCGCTCCAGGCGCTGAAATAGTAAATTCTACATTACAAATTCTTGTTAATTATACTAAACAATGTCTTACCTTCAGCAGAAAAGCGGAAATTTTCAGTTTGGGCAGCATATTTGCGATTAATATATTAGTAAAAATAAAGTTATTTCGGCCACTAGCGCGATTATTGCACAGCTGGCAAATATCTATCGATAACAGCGTCTTAATGGCTTTAGACCTATCGACATGGGCTCAGAAAAGGGGTTTTCAAAAAGTATGCTAAAAAGTTAAAATCCTTTTAAAATGACAATCAATTAAACTTATAACACAAAAAAAGTTCTAACATTTTACATTCTATTATTCAATTTCGAGTGTTTTATTCGATTTAAAACAAAAACTACGCATAAAAAATCACTCGTTAGTAAGAGGAAACAACTTTGTAATCCGTAGACATTCATAAAGAAATACAAAAAGTCACTTTTAATACACACACATATAACATTTATTTAATATATATTTTATATTGATTTCGGCATAGTGTATAGATTCGCAAAAAATGTTATAAACGCAGGCCAAATACCTTGCCTTCCGTTCCATGACTCTCCATTCGACTCATCATTCGAAGTCCACAATTCATTAATTCTATCAATGTTACACATTTATATACAGTACATAATTGCGTGGTGCCTCTTAGATTTGCTTTAACTGGAATATCGTGCTTTTTCTCGTTTTACTTTCGTGGCTACTAATTTACATTAAGAGTTTTTAAGCGGTTTTGTTTTTTTGTTTTTTTTTGTTTTCCTTTAGTTACGACATCTACAAACTACTAGGTTTCAGAATTTTCTAATTAAATTTCATTGCTAAATTGTATGATTTGCGCAAAAACACACAAGCTTACTTCGAAAAAAGGTTTAAAACGCAATCCCTCGCTATAATTATACATATATTGAATTCCTGCGGCTTTCATTTCTTGCCCACAAACCACTCCCCTACTCATTTTAGATAATTGTTTAAACTTGAAATTTAAAACATAAGCATCCATATCCCCCTCGGTTGCTCTGGCGCTACTTCCTCTGCTTGGCAGCAGAAGTGGCTGCAGTTGATCCTGTTGCAGTGGTTCCGGCTCCGGCGGTCATAGCCGTTGAGTCCTTGCGTGGTCCTGTGGTAATGGTCACGCTCGGACTGGCAGGCTTTGTCGTTGTCATCGAAGTTTTACAGCCACTGTTCTGGGGCTTGGTTTTGGGTGCCAAAGGGGTTGTGGTTTTACCTGGAAATCCATAACATTGGTTATTATTTAAATAATAAATAAAGTGGTTAATGAGGATAATCAACTCACCCTGATCAAACTTCTTGTTTTTTCCAGCAGGCTCCATCTCTGGCTGCTCAGTGGCCTTTACCTTTGTCGGCTTCTCCAGGGTCTGAGTCGGCGAGGACGAGGACTCTCCCTCTGCGTATTCCTCGATGGCGGGCATGAATCCCTCGGACACACTGCTACTGTCCTGAGTGCTAGTTGGCGAATCCTTCTCCTCGGCAATACGCGGCAGCGGCTCACAATTAGCGAGGGTAACCACAGTGGTAGCGCTTGGCTCTGCTCCAGCAGCAGTTGTATTAACCGCTACAGGTCCAGAAGTTTGTCTTTGAGATTCCTCACAGGCGGCAGTCATCAACTGCTGGGGTTGAGCTGCCGGAGCACCTGAGACTGCTCCACTACTTGACGCTGCATTACCCCCCTGAGTCGACCTCCAGGTAGTGGTAACCACACGCTGATGCGTCGGTTGTTTGATGGGCGGCGAGCAGCAGAGTGGCGATATCTTTGTTTCAGCACTACGGGGGTGCAAACGATCAGGGGACAAGGCGCGCCTCAGCAGCGGTGAACTCGGCTCAGCCGACTTGGTCCGGGCAAATCCTGCTTTCTTGCTATTCGCATTCACTGCCGTCTGCAATGTGGGCAGTGTGCTTCCCGGACTGTAAGACTGTGTGGTGTTGGAGGCTCCTGGCTGATGGCCAACCAGTGGAAAGGCCAATGGAGAAGGAGATCGTGTGGGCGAAGATGGCAGCGGCGATGGTGAAGGAGTCCGCGCCAACGGAGACAGTGGAATGTGGCCCACAGACTTCCGACGATTGGGCAGCGAATTGTTGCTCGTGGTATGGAGGGTCTTCAGTCCTCCGGCGGGATTATTGGCATTGCCCCCGCCTGCTATTACGGCGGTGGCCGCGTGCAGCTTGTGCTTGAGACCATGTAGAGTGGATGGACGCTGGTACAGTTGCGGAACGACACCAGTAGGAGATACTATAGAAATTATATAAAAATTTTTTAATAACAGATAACTCGTTTTCATTTCCCATTTTCTTACCTGGCACATTTCCCACAGAGGTGGGACTACTGCCAACAACGGCTCCCACATGAGGCAAGAGCACCAGCTGAGTGGGTGGCGGGGCTGCTGGCAATTGCACACTAAGAGCCGAGGGAGCAACTGGAGCGGATCCTGTGTTGGATCCACTTGAGCCGGTGGGTGTGTTGGGTGATGAGGATGAGGGCGAGGTGGATTGCGATGAGGAGTTGGCTGCAGACTGGCAGCAGCTGCTATGATACGATGAATCCAACGGCGACAAATTTCTGGCTGACGGTGTAGTGGGTGAACTTGTGCCAGCAGAGTACTAAAGGAAAAATAAAAGTTCAAAAACCAGGTATAATGTACCATTGTACAAAGGTAAACTCACCTGCTGCATCTCCGCATTTGCACGCTTGCTGCTTATACGTCGGAACAGCGAGGTTTTACGCTTCTTGTCGTGCTCCCGCTTCGTCTGCTTCTTCTGACGATTCAGACCCTTCTTGGCCAACTTGCTCTGCATGAGATCGCGCTTACGTCCACCGCTTTGAATGCTTGTGTGCTCGAGTGGCGTGGCGCGAAGAGTTACATGTTCGCCGCCACTTAGAAGCAGCTGCAGCACCTGGGTGTGGAACAGACCCTGCACAGCTTCCCCATTAACATGGGTAATGAGATCCGCTGGCCTCAGTCCGGCTTCAAAGGCAGGACTGCCCTCGTCCACCGCCATGACCAAATGATGCATTGTATAGAAATCTGTATCGCCATAGTAAACACGAATGGTATGGACAGTAAAACCAAATCCACGAGGTCCACGTCGAATGATTATCGGTGGCTTCAAATTAGTCACCAATGGCGAAAGCTCCCGACATGGTGAAGTATCCCTGGAGCTGGCCGTGCTGGAGCCATTTCCTCCGCCACCCGGTGATTGAATCCCAACCAACTGCGCAGCCAATTGACTATTGTCTAGTGATGTCATCAGAGACAAACCCAAAGCAGATGCAGATTTTACAATTGACCTGGAACGATGATGCTTCATGCTACTACCACTGCTGCTGCCGTCCATGGATTTTGGTTGATGCTGCAAAGCCAGCGGCGATTGTTCTCTTGGCAAGTTCATATTCTCCGTGGACGAGCTGCCCGCGGAAATAGTTTCATCTTCTATTGATATAGAGAAACGCGGCAGAATGTCCCTAGCGCAGACGCCCTTACGTTTCCGGTTAATTTGCGGCGAGAAGTCATCACTGTCCGTCTGAGAACTCTCCGGCGTGCTACGCGAAAAGCTTCCTGCCGTGGCCGTTGGCGGTGTAGCTGTCATTGCTGCCTGAGTTTGAGTTGGTGGCGGAGTGGCCGGTGTGCTGATAATGGTGGTCGTATTTGGCGGCATACTATGACGCTGCTGCAGACGCTGTGTGGCTCCGGGATTAGGTTGCTGGAGATAATGCTTCAACATTCGCAGCTCGGCATCATTTCCAATCGTGACATTGTGCAGTAATTCGGGCAAGTAATCAGCATCCGGGGTGGACGGCACCTTTAGGCAACTGGACGAGAGCTGCATAAAATATTGTTTTTAGATATTTTTTTTTCGAGATAACATTTAAAGTATTGACTCACATCTAGCTTTCGCAGTTGTGGCGTGTTTAAGAACTTGTTGACCACTCCCTCATTGGAGGTGCTATTCGAACCACTACCGCTTCCACTTCCGCTTATCATTCCCGTTTTGAGTTTAGGCAGGGCGCCAGTTGATGTAGCACCTACAGTTGCTACTGGGATTTCCTGGGCACGCGATGGCAGCGATGTAAGTGGTGGCGTGGCCGTTGATTTGACTCCATCGGTAGACGTGGGTGTGGCATGACGGGACCAACTATAATGCTGCTTCCTATACTGCGGTGTATACGAATTAAAACTGCCGAAGACGGGCGTGTCATCTGTGTCGTCCGTATCTTCACCGCCAAGATCATGGTTATAGCGATCCATGCGAGCTGTTTAATAAATAACGTTATTATTAGGTATACTTCATTTTATTCAATCTGTTTCCGCTTACTGTCAAAATAACTGGTATCATCGTCATGGGACAACTGCGGTACAAACTCTGCCTTCTGACGCAGCAGAGAGTTCCAATCCATGCCCAGAAAATATTCGTGCTCCTTCATCTCAAGGGCACCCGTTTGGGTGCCCAAACGATCTCTCGGGTTCTGCTGTAACAGTTGCGAAATGATGTCTTTTGCTTCCGATTGCACAGGCCAATCCTCACTGTCCGGCCATTCGATGTCATCATTGACAGTGTGCGCAAATAATTCCTCAGTGGTCTCCCCAAAAAACGGCACACAACCGATGAGGAATTCATAGAGAATGATGCCCATAGACCACCAATCGACTGGTTTTCCATAACCCTGGCGCAGGATCACTTCGGGGGCAATGTACTCTGGTGTGCCGTAAACCTGAAAAAGATAAAAATATTTCATAAATTTAAAGAATACAGTGTGTAGTCTAAAAATTACATACCTGCTTGTCGGAAAACTGTCTTGTTTCTGAGTCAATATACCCCTCGTACAGATTGGTGGCCAACGACATAAGTCCCATTTTGGAGAGGCCAAAGTCCGTGAGCTTGATGTGACCCAAGGCCGTGATCAGAAGGTTGTCAGGCTTCAGATCGCGATGCACAATGCCGTAGCTGTGCAGATACTCTACGGCTAATACTGTCTCGGCGAAATAGAAGCGGGCCATGTCCGCCGGCAGTGGCCCGATGTTCTTGAGCAGCGTGCCGCAATCGCCGCCCTCCACGTACTCCATAACCAGGCACAGGTGCTTCTTGGTCTCAAACGAACAGTACATGCTGACCACAAAGGGATTGTCGGCAAACGAGAGAATATCACGTTCGGCAAACACCTGCTCTACCTGGTTGCGCAGGATGAGATTATTTTTGTTGATTTTCTTCATGGCGAAGCGCTGACGCGTAGTCTTGTGCTTCACCAGGTAGACGGCTCCGTAAGCACCATTTGAGATCAGCTTGACAATGTCAAAATCATTTTCGTGAGGTGAGGGCTGTTGAGCTCCACTGCCCGTTATTGTTCCTGCTGTGCCTCCAGTTATTCCTCCAGCTCCCGTTCCTGTCACACCCGATCCACCAACTGCAGTACCTGCACCTGTTCTCTCCTCATTCATTTGATTAATAGCCATCGCAAAAGAGGGAGCCATTTCATTCGTCGCCACCGGCGTCTGAGGAGGCTGTTGAGGTGTCGCCTTGCCACTTCCCGAGTCCAAAGCAATGGAATCCAAAGCCAGGCTGCTCAACTGCTTAGCTGCGCTGGTTAAGGGCGAATTGAGGAGCAAACTGCCACCGGGATGCAGTGGATCCGCATCCACGGTGACCTGTTCCGAACACATTTGCTGTGTCTCTCGCAATTCCTGCTGCAACTCGGCGATGGGATCACGGTTTAGGCCTAGCTTATGGATAATGTATTGCGGAATGTCTGCCTTGATCACGGGCATAGCTTTGGCATGACCCTCGGCAGCCTCTAGCAGCTCGTAGAACTCCTGTGGATCAAATTCCAGGCATTCCAGCAACCGAGCTGGTCGCGAGATGATCAGCAGTAGCTTTTTAATAACACCATTTAGCTCAGCGGCGGCCTCCGGGGATTTTTCCTTGGTTTCTACCAACAGACGCTCCAGATTCTCACTCAACTCATAGAAATATTGCGAGGTTATCAACTTGGCTTCCGATTTGTGCAGGCAATCCCGCGCCATTTCCAATACCTGATGGTGCACGAAACTGTAAAAGAAAATCCGTTTTAGTTCACTAATATTCTACAAATATATTACATAAAATATTGATCAAAATTGTAGTAGCTTCCTCAAAAGATTCATTAAAGTTGCAGCTAAAATGTAGACTCACCGCACTATCGGCTGTGAATCTCTGAAGCTGTTGCATGCAGCACTCTTGTTTTCGTTGATGAAGTGCTTCAAGCGCTCCTCCATTTGCTGCGTAGCCTTGGGAAAACGTTCCTTGTAAAGAGTGTTCATTACGGCAATCTCATTGTCCACAACTGGTGAACGCGACGGACTGGACAGCGATCGGGAGCGTGGACGAAAATAGGGCGACATCCGACCACCAACTTGCATCGCACTTGAGACGGAGCTGTTGGCCGATGGGCCACCATTACCACCAGGCTGCTGGCCACTGCAGGCCAGGCTCAGTTCGGCGCAGCAATTGGCACAGGTCGCTGCCATTAGTTTCTGGGGCTGCAATTGCGATGGCTTCGGTGGCTGTGGTGTCATTTGTTTTTGGGAAACGGCCAGCAACAGAGCACAGTGCTTGGGGCAATGCTGCTTGAGGTGCTCGGCACAGCAGGCACCGGCAGCCACGGCAGCGGCATCCGCCTCCTGGACTCCGGGCGGAATGTTGTGCGGCAATTGGTTAAGACCCTCCTGGCTGGAGCACTGAGACTGTGACATAAGCAATCATTTTATAAATACATATTGTTTCCTAATGATCTACACAAACCCACCGATAAATTGGAGCTGCCCGGAGTTGTGCCATACCCGGAGGAGGGCAATGAGGCGACGGACCAGCGACGTCCGTCCACAACGCCTCGGCACGAGGCGATCCTTTTGATCGGAGCAAATGCAAACGGCATTGGTGAATTGAGGCGCGGACTGTCCACGGGGCTGGCCGAGTAAGGAGAATGAGCCCGGGATCCGCCAGCCGCCGCAACGGCAGCCGCATTGGTAACTAAACTGAGTCGATGATGAGCCACTCCACTCGAGGATCCACCAGCTGAACCAGCACCTCCGCCAGCCGATCCTCGCATTACAACGCCGTGCAAATGATGATGGTGCTTGGCCATGCCAATTCCAGCACAGCTGCCGGACCTTGAGATGTTATGACCGGCCGAGGGAGAAGCCCCAAAGCCAGGTGCCTGAATAGGTGGTGGAGCAGCAAGCTCATGGCGGAAATAGTTGCCTGTGAGGAAAGGAGCCGACTTTCCCAGCGAGGAATGACGCATACGAAGCAGATTTGAGGCTTCTGTAATAGGTAGGTTTGATTAAGTGATATTGTTAATTAATAAAAAAAAAATGTGGTGAATTTTATATTTTATAATAAATGCTATACCAGTATATCTATAAATTTTTATAACTTTCTTTAATAACTCAAGTAATACTTAAGAAGGAAAGAAAATATCTCTTTTTTAATAAAGAAAATTCTAACAATTTGCGCAAGTTATCTGGTTTTGAAAGCTTACAAGGACAGCCAGACAAACATGATTAATAAAATAATATAGGTGTCAATCTTAAGGTGCTAATAACGTCAGAATTCACAACTCACTGTAACGATAAAAATAGATTGTAAACATGCGTTTCTCGCACGGAAAGCTAATTTTATCGTTAGTCTGGAAAGATGGAAAATATTGAGAACTTAATTTAACTTAAAATTTTTCCGAAACTAATGATTCTTTTAATCTTTTGACTTGAATTTGACAATATTCACGATACTAATAAATTAAGTAAGTGCTGGGATAATCGCTTACCGCTGCTAACTGCACGCAAAGAGTTGGTGTGCTGCTGATAGGAAATCTTCCGCAACAAAGCTGTATATCCCCTCGAATGCAAGGAGCTGGAACTTCCGGACAGACCACCAGACGAGCTCTTGGTCAGATTTAGATTGCGCATCATCGAGGAGCCATTGGTGCTATCGTTGCCGACGGACAGTTTGGCCGGCGAGGTGGGCAGCAGTTCTAGTCCGCTGCAGGATTTGACACTACTGTTGCAGGATGACGAAACTGCTGCCAGAGCTGCTGCAGCGGCAGCTGCCTCCTGGTCGGAATCGTCAAAGATGAGGACGCGAGCCGAGTAGCTCGACTGCGGACGAATCCGTGATAGATTTGCCGTGCTCAAATTACGCTTGGGCACTGGACTACCGCTCATCGTGGCGCCCGTTGTGGTGCCACTGCTGCTGTCCGCTGATACGGATCCCGAAATGGACATGGCCTCGATCTCACTGGCCACGCTCTGATTAATGAACTCCTGTTCCTGCTGTTCATCGTTCTTCTGAGGCGTCGATGTGGATATCTTGCTGCCCAGAACAGCACTTACTGATTGGGTGGAGGATGTCGATGAGGATGACGATGTGACTGGGCCGGCCGCTCCCTCGGCTGGACGGGATGAAGCTCCCTCCTGGCGACTCATGATCCGGCTGGGTTCGCGTTCGCTCTGATCTTAGCAGGATCGCATGTTGTTGTTATTCTCCGGGTCTTTGTTACTTCGGCTTCTGGGCATGGCGTCGGCGGCTGCAATAAGAACAATTAATTAGCACACGGCTGGCAAAGCGTTTCCCAGTTTACAGTTCAATCCATCTCTCATCCGAACCCATTCCCGACACCCAGACATTGGAAATTGCTTCCACACACAAGCCTTCGGCTAATTAATCTCGTTGAGTTGTCACTTTGCACGAGCCAAACACAAACACAACGCAAAATATATAAATCCGTTAAAAATGGGATCGAATTATATTAATATATATTACATATATACATGTATGTACATATGTATATATATATTGGTATGTGGGAGGCTTTTGGGTAATAGCCCAGAAATTCCACAATGAGCAAGTGCCCCGGATAGGTTGAATCACAATGTCGGGCAATAACAAGGGTCTCACGGAAGTCTCTTCCATTCGAAAGTCAAATGCCGGTGATTCAGAAATCTATTTTTGTTGTATTTTGTTCTTTTGAATCATGTACTTAAATAAAATATAATTTCTTTAAACAATACCAGTCAGCATACAAATTTCAAATTGTTTACTTAACTTTAGTTCACCGCTTTACTAACAATCAGATCAATATTCTAAAATGTTTACATAAAACACTTTTATTTGGAATATCAAGTTCAATATTGATTACTTTTTCATATTGTTTTCTTTTTAAATGTATTTCTAAAACATTTTAAAGTGAAATATACACACAAAATCATTTCAGGAACTTTGATTTATATAATTTTATCCAACTGAAATTTGAAATTCCAAAAAATTATTATACAAATATTAAAAAGTTTGTGTTATAAATATTTTTAAATAAATAAACATATACTTGATATCGTGGGTTCAAAATTACAATTTCCCAAGTTCACGTATACAAAAATTTCAATATTTTTGAAAACCAAAAAAAAAAAATCGATGAACAAGGTCAATTGGTTAACTTTGTTTGTAGTGTGAAATCATGTCAGTGAGATCATTTTATATAAAACAGACTAAATTATAAAGCGTAGATAATTTAAATTTAAGTAATTTCCTCATTTAAGTAAGTGTCTAAGAACATTTTCTGAACAATTGGAAGATTTTAAGAAAGAATTAATTTTTGATGACCTTTAAAAACTTTATGTTTTAAAATGCAATATATGTATACATTTGTAGGTATTTGAATTGAGAACTGGTTTTATGTATAATTACAAGAAAATATTCAGAGTTAGAAATATTCAAGGAATATTTGTCCTTTTACGCATGCCTTACCTAATATATAGGTATCACTATTCAACTAAACTCTTCGTTCCACGTTTCAGTTTTTTTTTTAAACTTTCCCGCTTTGTTTAAAGCTATATACACTTGAAGTGCACAAAGCAAGAAACTCAGTTAGTGTGCCATTGTTTACCCTGGTTTTCTCTGGTCTGAATAAGAAGACCAGTAAATTATCGGATTATCTGCAGGTGAGGATCGGATTGGAACTGGCGATGGAAAGGGGCTACACCAACAGCTACAGCTGTATAAGCTATATGACAACTATAAAGCACGATCGTAAATGGTGCTCCGAGGTCTCGTAGACGTTGTCGTAGTCCGACTTCTGCGGTTATCAGTTTGTTTTCGTTTCGTTTATTTTTGTGTGTTTAGTGGCATTTATTCTCACACACTATATGTACACTACATATGTACGCACACACACGGCCAACAGGGCGTATATTTGTTTAAATTTCGCCCACTCGAGGCGAGACGCGCGAGTTATTCAGATGATAATTGGATTCGCAAATGCGACCGCCGCTGTTTGCACAGATTTGATTATATTGTATGGAACCACCAGCAGAACCCCAGACCAAAAAACAACAACAAAAACAAATAAATAACCAAGGGCAAAGGATTTTTGAGTCCAAATTAATTATGGCCAAGAGAATCCACAAAAACAACATCATCAAGTTGGGGCTTTGCATGGGTATAGGTAAATGGGTGTCTGTCTGTGTGTGGGGCTCCTTCGCCGCCCACACACAAACGCACGCACACAAACACCCACAGACATTGCGATTACGGGGTTTTTGGTACAATAAATTGACCATTGCTCAATTTTATAGCACTTAACACACGATTTGCAACTTTACATTTTATACGCAGCATTGACGCTGGGGCTGACACACACACTGGCGTGCCTAGCACGCTTTTTGAGGAGTATTATTAAATATTTTTAACAGCGAAAAAATCGTTGTAACAATATCAGTCAGCCGAACGGTCACACCACTAGCGATGACAGCCGATGCTGTGCAAGTTATCGAAGGTCACGACAGCGATGACACTTAAATCTCTAAATTGATTTCTTGATTAGCGGGCTTTTTTTAAAAATTAGTGCTCTTATCGTCATTTACAAATTCAAAAAAAATTTAAGATACTTAAGATAAATGTGCAAACTAGCACACGTTGAGAGTACTGGGACCTTGTTTTTAAATTTATAATCATATTTTGTATTTGGCAAACAAATATACATATGTAAGTGAATGATTTAAATCGGCAGTGGCAAGTGTGACCGAATCAACAAAGCACTAGCTTTTTGCAAATATCTCAGTAACTTAAGGTATTTTAATCACTATTATTTAAAATATATAAAATGTTCAAATATTTCAAAGTTTTCTTTTTGTGAAAAATGAAATATATATTTAATTTTAATTTTCGAAAATAAATTAAATAAATTGAAAAGAACAAATTTTTTTATTACACTGAAAGGGAAAAACATTTCATTAAAAACAAACTATTTTACATATATGTTCAATAGAAAAGACAGATAAGTAAAGAAATGACAGTTTTAAATATTTTCAAATACAAATTTTAAATAAACTTTAATTAAAAATTCGTCTAAATTATGATGAAAATGTACTTTTCAATATATAATAATTTGAAACTGAAAAAGAATAAGACACCTTCTTATTTTAAAGCTCAATAAATAGAACACCGACGCAAAGTACATTTACTAACTTTATTTATTTATTACGACGCTTTTATAGAGAAAATGTAAATTTACCGGCCTTGCTTAGAATCTCCGTTATTTAGAATAATCAGAATAAAAGCAAATCTATCATTAATGAGAATACAATACAGTGTAACAATTCGTTAGCCATAGTTCATGTTTGTACTGTGCGAGGTCTGGTAGGCGCTGGATATGTTCTTTTGGGAGCTGGAGCTCGCGTTGGACTGCTGCTGGAAGCCGGATCCCGGTGATCCCTCCTCCTTGAGATGATCGTTTTCCTGGCACCACTCCACGAAGTCATCGATCAGCACCGGCCAGGCGCCCTCCGAATCGTAGTTGCTCATACGATCGTCGATGTTAGTAGCAAAGTCCAGCAGCAAGTTCCAGGTGTCACGCGAGATGGCCCGCTTGTGCTTTTCCTCGAGGAACTGGCACCATATATCCAAGAACTTGAAGCGCCCACTGAGCACAATGCACCAGTAGGCGATGGCCATTTCCAGGTCGATTCCCTTTTGGCCCGGATCCTTGGCATAGTTGAAGGTGAAGTGGTAAAAGTCCTTGAATTTGCCGGCATCGCTCAGCTCCTGCTCAAGAATAGGCAGCTTGGCCTTCAGCTTGTCAATGCTATCAATTCCCAGGTCGCACATCCCATTAATGAACTCGTCCCGCGAAAATTCGCACTGCACTTCAGCGTGAAACTTCCACGCAATGATCAACACCAGTTTGGAATCTGGCTTGAGGTCCAAATCCTCTAGAAAGTGTATAACCCCCTGTGATCCGATCTTTAGAGGATCACTGGGATCCCGATAACGCACGAACAGCTGCTCAATGCGTTTGCGATCCAGTTCCCTGTAGTAGTACTCTGGATTCTGAAAGTAATTATCGCTGGCTAGGTCCAGTTTCCAGTCGTTCTGTTGTAAACAGAAAATAGCCGTCTGTTCGCCAGTTTGTGTTAACGATATGAACTTCTTCACCTTCTCCCGATGCTGGCTAGATTTTAGTTTGTTCTGCAATATCATTACCATTATAGACAATTAGTTCATATAAATTAGGAGAAGAAAGCGTTGTGATCTATTAAAAGTTTGTATTGAACATATCTATGTAGACATTCCAAATTTCGGATTGTATTGAAGAAAGTTAAACTTATTTTTCAGGTACTTTTAAGATATGCGCTCGAGTATGGCCTATATAACATTAAGTGGGGCAATGACTAAGACGTATCTTACGGTCAGGACTTTTGATTATATGAATATAGCGTCCTTTAATTGTTTACTATAGATTTTGTTGCCCAGGCGAATTGCATAAATACAACAACAACTATAGTGCCCAAGCTGGCGCTGCGAGAAGAAGAAGACGTTACGGATGCGAAAATAGATCATTTACGACACTTTCTCTCGGACTTCTACTGGGTTATAACTTGACCAAAACTTTGGGCCTTAATTTGTAGAATTTCTCACCATTGTTGTGGCAATAAATAGATATTATTTGTTTATTTTACGGGCTCAAAACTTTGTTGGAGTGCCCTTGTTCTTCTTCTTTCTGCTGCTATTGCCAGTGTGACCAGGTGACGAAGAGTCAATAAATTTCGACTGGTTCCTAAATTAGTTATCTACTTATTTAATTCTTTAAAGAAATAAACTAATATAAATATTAACATCTGTGTTTGTAAATAATATAATATTTGACAATTTTCACAAATGTTCCTTTTATTTGTTTAAATAAATTGTACAGTATATATTTTTATATTTTCTTTATGCTTCTTTGCCATATGCTAAAAAATGTATAGATTAAAAAACTTTCCTTTTAACTGCCAGCCAAGCTTAATACATTTCCAAACGAAAATTTGCCGTTGTGAGTTGTTATTTTTTAACGCAGTGGAGACACACGTATTTCAGACTATTCGATACCATGTGAAGCAACAGTGGAAACTGTCTTTAAAATCGCTTACCCCACATCTGATTCACTATTGATTTTCTACAATAACAAAGAAAGTGGCAAATCTGGGAAAATAACGCAATTTGGGATATTCAAAAATATATCAATTCTAAAAATCGGAATGACGAAATTCACCCTTGTACTGGGGATGCTGTTGACCCTGGGAAACGTAATCCACGCCAGCGATATAACGGATAAAGTTTTCGCAGATATCAAAGAGGGCATTGTAGCTGCTTTCGGGGATTTCAATTCCGACGAACTAACCGATGTTTTTGTAATTCGCGATGATATGAAAACGTTGCAGATACTGTTTGGTATGTATGGCTTTCCAATAAAGCTACTATCTAATGGTTATTTTTTTCCTTGTAGGACACTACACTGAGCCGCTGCTACGACTTGGACCCTATTGCCAGTACGGAGATAAGACTATAGTAAGTGTAATTCCCGGAGATTTCGATGGCGACGCCCTTATGGACGTGTTAGTTAATCTAAAAAGCAGCGAAAAGAATACCTACGAGGTGCACATAAACTGGGGAAACACCACCGAGCTGAATTGCTCTAACAAGCCACTCTTCACCAGCAAAGGAGAGGTGATGGCTTTAGATTTCAATCGCGATATGATCATCGACTTGTACGGTTTAAACTCTATGGACAAACGCTCATTCTGGATATTCAACAGTAGTAGACTTCCTCCAGAGGTGGTCCATCAGGCAGAGCCCACCGAAATCAAGGGCACCTCGTTGAGCATACCCAATGCAAATGCCTATTTGGATTTAAATGGCGACTTCCTGGCGGATCTTTTTCTTCAGACAGAGAATTCTTATGAAATATGGTACGGCATCAATGAGCAAGACAAGCAGGAGAATTTCAGCTACCAGGACCAGATCAAGTTCCAGCCCATCGGAGGCAACGACTACCATATTGGCCAGGCCGTATTCATGGACTTTGAACTTACAGGCGTTCAGAACATTGTGGTGCCCTTTTGCATCCTTTCAAACTGCCGAAACTCCTCGATCATGGTGCACGATGGAACCGATTTCCGAAATCTTCATGTAAACTTTCGCGATCCACAAGGCATCACCTGGGCCTTTGTGCCACCTAAACCCGATGATGTGTACTTGCGGACCATTACCGCGAGGAGTGGAGACTTTAACCTGGATGGCTATCCCGATCTTCTGGTTACGCTGCAGCCGTTAAATGTCGGCAAGCCAGTAATGCAGACGTTCCTGCTAGAGAACGTGCCTTGCACAACGTGCAACAAGCCACTAAAGCGTACATTCGAGGTCCGCTGGAGCGCCCTTTCGCCGATGGGCAACAATACAGTAGCTGGTGCCTTCTACGATTTCTACCAGGACGGTGTGCTCGATGTGATCCTTATCCGGAAGGATGGAAAGGGCAAATACCAGCCTCTAGCCTTTTTGAATACTCTTGACTATGATGCGAACTTTGTAAAGGTGATTGTTCTGACAGGTTTGGACAACAAGCTGAATCCGGAACGACGTACTCCTTTGGGAAGAAAGAAGCGCACTTACGGAACTAACTTGCCGGGACCCCGCATCACTTACACCACTACCACTCAAGATGGGGATCAACAGTGCGGCAGTAGTGTGCAACTGCCGCAGGCCTCTTATTTTGCTTTGCAACTCCCATACACGTGTTTTGGTTTGGGCAGAACGCCCAATTTCGTCGATCAATTGACCGTAGGACTTGGCAGCAAGTTACGTAACTGGACGCAGCTCATACCCAACTCACAAATAATTGTGGTGCCAAAACCGTTAAACGAACCTTCGCACTGGAAGGCCCAGCTTTTCGTTACACCAAGCAAATTGATTCTAATGAGCGTGGTGGCCCTAGGTGGAACTTGCCTGGTCATCGTCTTTATTATCCTCGTGCTTTACATCAAGGAAAAGCGCGAAGATAAACAAGAGCGCCTGCAAGAGTCGCACAGATTCCATTTTGATGCGATGTAACTTCGCAAATTAAATGTAAATTAAGTAACCATTTTGTTTCAACCAAGGGAGTTGATTGTATTATTTTATTATTATTTAAAGATTATTAATATGACCGAAGTAAAGACGGCATCCTGTCGATTTAAATATGCGTTTCCCCATCTCAGGTGGCCACACACGATAAGTCACTTTAAAAGCAATCTTATAATGAAATCGACAGAGTACGTTGTTTACATCAGAATTATATGAATATGGTTTAAAAAATGTGATAAATATAAAAATGAGGAAAAATAAAAAAAATTGTATTTTTGGATTAGACAAAATACATGGGATTTGTCTTCATGAACTCGGGCACAATCTGGCGTTTCGCGTACTCCTTTTTCAAATCCATGAAAACTGAAGTCCTGTATTGCAAAAATAATTAATATTAAGATATCTGAAGCAATTATATTACATACCCAGTGAGATAGACGCGGCCACGGGCTGCCACTAAATGAGCCAAGTAAGCCGGAGCCGGGTACGAAACAGATCGATTACAACGAGGGAACATGTGACATAAGTTATATGTCAACTGTTGCAACAGATCGATGTCCAGATTGCCGGTATTCTCGATCACATTGTAGCGCGTCGGCTTGGCTGTCCCCTGGATAGACTGATGGCTGACCATGAAGAATTGCATCTCGTTGGGATGAACAATTGTGCGGTCAACCACGGTTCCGGGGTCAACGTTGTTAAACTTGTTGTATTGGGATGGTTCGCCATTGGGGAAGAATCGAGTATGGTGACGCTTTACCACGATAACGCAGCAAATCTTGGGTTTAATACCCTCCTGGAAGTTGACAATCAATTTATAATTTTGTTAATTAGCTAAAACACACAACTCACCTTGGCACAGGCTGCACTTATGCCTCTTAGTTCCTCGTTCTTAATTTTGGGAAATTGTCCATCGCTCACGCCATCTCGGTAATAGAGAATATGTTCCGGGTAACACTTGCGGTACTGATGATATACACGCAAATGCTCCAAAGTAATCGAAAACATGTCCTCGATTTCCTCGAGAGCACTTCGCTGCAGCCGATACTGCATATTGTAAGAGGCACCATGAGGATCATGCGACGCTGCCACGCCCACCACACTGGGGATCTCGCGTTGATCGGGCGAAGGATGGGTTACATCGGCCCCCAGGTACATAGCGTTCTTGAGCATAGGCAGTCGAGGATCATCCTTAAGCTTGTGGTTAATACCATTCAGCTTTGAGTTGACCTTAAGTAAGATATTTCCAATGGTCTGGGGATTGAGCTTTCGCTCCACAGTAAACTGCTTGATGCACTGTGTTAAAATTCCATGTTGCAGCTCCGCCTTCTGCTTAATGATGTCATAGGAAGCACCGGCTTTGGGAATAATCACAAACGCTAGGTCGCACTGATTGCGCTTGAGATCCTTAAAGACTTCGTCCAGGTCATTCGCGTCTTTGAACGTCCTAATTTCGGCCTTTTCAGCTAGGCTCATGCTTACAAACTTGCTTTGGTTAAACATTTGGCGCTCAAAATCGCCAATCTGATTAAAGTGCATCTTATACCCACGCGGTGGATCGTTATAAAGGATTGCCCATTTGTGAGCCCTGGGCTTTGGCTCTAAAAACTTCATGTTGTCCATACGCCATGAACCGTTCCTCACTGCGCACCACTTGTTTCCTTGGTATTCAACCTGCGGTGGATTAAGAGTGCGGGTGCTAACCACAATAAAATCGTTGGCAATACGGATACCAAAGCGACTAATGGTCGGATCCATATTGTGTTGAAAGAATTTCAGCAAACCAATAATCTTGCTTTTTCGCTCGTTCGTCGATGTGGCAGCATACTTGATCATGTTGGCCACCTGAGTGGTTCCATCCTTGCGCTGCAAAATACCAAAATTAAGTTTACATTTTTTCCTAGGTTTTGTAAAATTAAAAAAAAAAAAAAACAGCTAAAGAATAATTTGTTAAACTCACATTCAATGGTTGACCTCCTTCAATGGTGCAGAGTTCGATGGGCACTAAAATATTTTTTACGGGAGGCCCTACATGCAGGCAATGTAGGTTGGGATATTTCATCATGTAGTTTCGATTCTTAAAATAGTCCACAATTGTGACCTTCTTGCCCTCGTACTCGAAGGTCTGGACGTTTGCAGGGTTCATAGAAAGCCCATTTACTTTGTAGGACCTTGCTGAGCTGCCAAACGATTCAGGTGGAGTGTAAGAAATATTGATGCCCTTAAGGAAAGACTCAATTTGCCTCCTAGAGAAATTCAGATTTGTATTTTTGTCTATTTTTTGTCTTAGACTGTATCGCTCTAGATACTCTAACACCGTCATAGCCATAGGAAAGGACTTGTGCGATATATCAACATTTAAGAATGGCTTATCGCCCAATATGACAGCTTGATATAAACCGATCAGGGCCTCGTATCCATCTTCTAGTTCCCGGCGTTGACCTGGTTCGGACATTTTGAAGAATGAGCGACCGGCGCGAATTGCCTTGTTGTGGCAGGGTGAAGCCATCACTACCTCCAAACACTGCATGGCACGCATCGGCTTATCAAAGATCTTATCTTTCATATAGCTAACCAAAAAAGTTTATGTCAAAATACTTTTTTTTTGTTTTAATTCCGATTTCTTACTTGTTCAGCGATTTTAAATCGATTTCCGCATCACCAGTCTCTTTAAGTTCTATCGTGTATTTAAGAGAGCGACCGTTACTGTCCATCACCTAAAAAGTATTAATCCAAATTGATAAATTATAAGTTAGAACGAAAATATAAAATCATTTTCTATTGTAAAAAACTTACAGTCACGTCCGCGTTCTGAGTCTTAAGATTTAGTTTTTCAACTGAGTAGCAGGATGCTCTGCCATCATAGGCGGCAATTGCACCGCCCAATTGATCAATGCGAAACTGTTCGAATGCTTGTCTGTAGAATTTCTTAGGGCGTTCTGGCATAATCTTTACATCGTAGTGAAAGGCCTTTTCCGGCATTTTGGACATGTCAATGTCCAAATAGTTAACGGCCACCTGACCGGGTTTGCCGAGTGTTCCTCGTTTGATGGTGCCTTCTGTTTGAGGAGGAAGGGCTTGGTATTGACTCCGACTTCCCTGTCCCTGCTGTTGCTGTGGATATCCACCTTGTTGTCCCCTTCCCGGTTGTTGTGGACGCTGATCATATCCACCTTGTTGTCCCTGTCCCTGCTGTTGTGGACGCTGCTGATATCCACCTTGTTGTCCCTGTCCCGGCTGTTGCTGTGGACGCTGCTGATATCCACCTTGTTGCCCCTGTCCCTGCTGTTGTGGACGCTGCTGATATCCACCTTGTTGTCCCTGTCCTTGCTGTTGCTGTGGACGCTGCTGATATCCACCTTGTTGTCCCTGTCCCTGCTGTTGTGGACGCTGCTGATATCCACCTTGTTGTCCCTGTCCCGGCTGTTGCTGTGGACGCTGCTCATATCCACCTTGTTGCCCCCTGTCCCTGCTGTTGTGGACGCTGCTGATATCCACCTTGTTGTCCCTGTCCCTGCTGTTGTTGTGGACGCTGCTGATTTCCATCTTGTTGCCCCTGTCCCTGCTGTTGTGGACGCTGCTGATATCCACCTTGTTGTCCCTGTCCCTGCTGTTGCTGTGGACGCTGCTGATATCCACCTTGTTGTCCCTGTCCCTGCTGTTGTGGACGCTGCTGATATCCACCTTGTTGTCCCTGTCCCTGCTGTTGTTGTGGACGCTGCTGATTTCCATCTTGTTGCCCCTGTCCCTGCTGTTGTGGACGCTGCTGATATCCACCTTGTTGTCCCTGTCCCTGCTGTTGCTGTGGACGCTGCTGATATCCACCTTGTTGTCCCTGTCCCTGCTGTTGTGGACGCTGCTGATATCCACCTTGTTGTCCCTGTCCCTGCTGTTGTTGTGGACGCTGCTGATTTCCATCTTGTTGTCTCCCTCGCTGCTGTTGTTGTGGACCTTCCTGAACGTTCACTGGCTGTAGTACACCACGGGACTGCTGTTCCTGGGCTGATTTTTTCTGCTGGCTCCAGCCTTGAACCTTTTGCTGATGACCTGGAGCTTGCTTCTGCCATCCTCCACCAACCTTTTGAGCACTAGAGCCAGAAGCCGCGGAGCTTGTGGATGCTTGGGGTTCTTGCTGTCTTGGTGCTAGATTTTTAAAAACATATTAAGAAATTGATTTTTATGCTTTAAAAAAAACGTTTGTTAATGTAATACTTTACTTGTTCACATTTCTGTTATTTCTTTAAGAAATTCTCACTTAAAGTATCAAAATCCTTTTTATAAAATTACCTCATACAAATTACGAAATTACGAAAGAAAAATCATTCCATTTAAATTTCAGTGCACTCTTTACGTTTAATTTGTAATTTTAAAACGAATAAGATTAACAATTACAATTAACGTGATATACCTACATGCACATTAACTTTAACTATTTGTTGAAAATATTTTTTAATTAACAGACAATCACTACAGTTACAACTTTTATTTGTTCAATTTGTTGATAGTGCACTGTAGATAAACGTGTTTTGCACCAATACACTTACGCTAACTTAATTTCATCACAAGTACATTGAATGTGGTGACTCCCCGTAAAATGGAAAAAATTCTCGATCATTCGAAGCCCACTCTAACTTTTCTATCTCCTAAAATTGCAAATCTTATATATGTAACTGTATATTTGATAAATATATATAAATGTATGTATTTAAAGAGTACTATATTTTGCATATGTAAGCAAATTGCAGTAAATTGTACATACCTTGTTGTTGTTGTTGTTGTTGCTGCTGTGGAGGAGGAGCTGCTGCCTTGGGCTCCTCCGTTTCTTTCTTATACTCTGGGGTGGTAATTGGACATTTTAATATGGTATATACCTAAATTTGTATGCCGGACAACTCACTGTTTTTCTTTCCCATCTTGAACTTGATGAAATTTTGATTGATTTATTTTAAGAAACTCCCGAAACAATTTACGTTGTTGCACTTTTGTTCTGACTTAGAGATGACATGTTTCTCATCAATATCGAATGGGATGACCATCGATAGTTTCCCAGCTCTCAAAAGTCTGGCCGATTTGTTATCGAGCCGCAAAGATGCCTTGAAAATGTTCCATACACAGGCTTTACAGCTGGAGTCATCCGATCCATAATTGCATAAAAAGCAATCCGATATCAATACTTTGACTAAATATCTTTTTTCTGCAATTTGAATTCCATATTTAAGCCATTCAACAAGCTAAAATGAACAACAAAGGCCTAAAAGTTTTAAAAAATTCTATAAAAGGTTACGGGATAGTTAAGAAAGGCAAAGCTCCTCAAGATATCACCCTTTCTTGTTGTTACGACATTTCCTGACATTGCTATTATTTATTTATTCTTGTTATTATTTATACATGTATCATGTTTTCGTACTTATGGTACCCAGGTTGGGAAATTATGAAATTAACGTAATGTTATGTGTAAGAAAATTGTGAATTTTCTCAGAATTACCATCAGGTCTGGAAAAATAAGCACTGTATGCCTACAGACCCAATTATCGTGGTCCTTCTCACACCTGAGAAACCGATGGATACCCGGAACCCGATGATAAAAAGTCTTGACATAACATAGCTGCCGATAACAATTTCAAACAAATACGAATTTTTAAAAAAATATGTGATGCTATACAATACAATTTAATTTCAAATTTATTCGTATTATATTTAGGAAATATTCTTCGTGAAAATTCAGCTGAAAATGGCTTTTAAAAAATCCTTAGTCATAAGGATCTTTAAAAATATATATAATCATTCTTAAGCTAAAATAAAACTCAGACTTAGCGGCTGTTGTTATGGTTGTTTGAATTTTATTTGGAATTGCACTTTTACTTTTGCCAAATTACAGCAACCAATCGTAAAAATTTTACAATTTTTTTTGATTTATTTTCATGTTTTTTTTTTTTCCTTTTCAACGTTAAACATACAATATATGCGTTAAAAATGCTATAGCCAAAAAATAGTATATCGTCGTACATTATTCATATTTTAATATATAAATATATCATAATGTATTTTTTTTTTCATGTTGTTGTTGTTGTTTTCAATTTCTATGTTTTTAACGCATTTGAATAAAAATTGTTTGTCATTGCACGAGCGTTTTGTTTCTCAACTTCGATTTATAATTTTCGTATTTTTACTAAATATCTTTCATTTAAAATTTTACTAACAATTGCACAACTTCGTCCGATTGATTTATACACAGATGAACAGACATACATAAAAATAGCTAAATTATTTTATATAGATTTTATCGTTTTGATAAGAAATAATATCCGGGTTTAAGCTTAACATTTTCTTTAAGTAATTTTGTTTATCTTCTTTTGTGTTTTTATAAAATTCAACTAATTTAAACTAGAATGACTCATTCAGAACGCTGCGGAAAGAATACAAAAAATATATAAGTTTCGTATAAATATTTATGCCAAAAAATTGCACTAAAACGTAAAACTCAAATTTGTAAACATAAAAAACAAAAAATATTTGCTGCAAAATATGTTTTTGAATTGGGTGTATGCTCTCTCTCTCTCTCTCTCTCTCTCTCTCTCTCTCTCAGCGCCGTCTTATAATATAAAACTTAACAAACAATAATTAATTTTTTTTTTTTAAATTGGCTCGGAAATTGTTTAAATCGCCCAGGCAACGCGATAGTTGGAGAACGGAACCGAAATGTTCTATATGGATCTATGATATATCCATTTGATAAATTCGTATTCGTATATATTTTTCATAAATTGAAACTCCAAAACTTTTCAGCTGCTGGCAAAAACAGATGATGAAGAGAAACTTAAATGCTGTATGTATAGACATAGTTCGTTACATAATCCTTCTTTCTACATATAGCTAAATTATGGAATTGTTTAGGTATTTTTTTTAATATATATATATATATATATATATATATAGTCGTCAGCTTTCGTTTTCGTTTTGATTTTTTTTTTGTTTTGCTTGAGAAATATCGTTTAAAGGAACAAGAGTCATGCCAAAGACAGCACAGAGATTGGGCTCCGGGAGTCTTTCGGTTATTCATTCAATCATTATTAAAACATAATGTACATGTCGCTGCTCTTAGATCATTTCCGATCTGGATTTGATATTTGATTAGAGTGCGAACTTCATTTTATTTTAAAATTTTCGTTTTTTTTTTGTTGGTTGTTGTTGTGGTGTTGTTGTTAAACTTTTCATAACTTTGCTGTTTTTTTATGTTTTTGTTTTTGGTCTGTTGATTTCGTTTCATTACAATATATATATATATATAGCTTCTCTGTAGAGGCTTTCTGGATTGGCTTCTGTTTTTTTGAGCTTCTCGATTTTGTAATTGTAATTGTAATTGTGGTCGTTGCTGCAGCTGGTCATAAGGCCTAAGCTCTAGATCAAGTTTATATAACAGGAATGCATGACTAATATACATATAGCTATATAATATAGGTCCTACAAGTAGCTAGGATTACATACACATTAAATTATACGGTATTAGTTATGGGCATCAAGGCATCTGTGTGCCTTGTGGAATAGTTTTATATATATCATTATATATATATATATATATATATATATTGTGGGGGTGCAGAAGGAGTTTGGGGGGAGGGGAATGTTTAACGCTTTGTGCTAAACAAAAGCCGAATAAAAAAATTCATCAAAATTTCCTCATCGAAATAAATTCTTGAAAATAAAACTCCCAGACTTATTCAATCGAAACAAAAAACTGAAGACATACACACATTATATAGATATATAGATCTACAAATATAACTCGGGAAGGCGGGCAAACAAGAAACAAGTACCGATTACGGGAAATCCCCTGCAGCATTTGCGGGGATTTTTGTAATCAGAAACTTTAGGACTTTTTCACATTGTGCTTGCTAACTACGGCCTGCAGTTTGTGCAGCTGACTAAGTAGATTGGCATTGGACTCCTCCAGACCCTCGAGGCGTTTCTTGTAGTCATGGTTCTCTGTGACCAGAATCTCGACACGCCTCTCCAGCTGGTCCATGTACTCTTTCTTCTTGCGGCGGCTTTCCTGAGCAGAGATCTATAAAAAAATAATGTTATTAATTAGTTGTTATTATTAAAAACGATGAAAGGTGCTTTATCTTAACAACCATAAATTGATTTTAAACTTACTTTATTCTTGATTTTGCGTCGAATCTTCTTGAGCGATTTCTCTTCGGCTTTGGTTAGGGGAAGCTTCTGCGGTATCGGATAGCCTTCGGCCAGCAAAGTGCGTTTCTCTTCCTCCGTCAGCAGCAGCGTTCCAGTGGATCCCTTCTGCAAAAGGTAATTAAATGTTTAATAAGTCAAGTCTTGCAAAGTTGTTCCTAATTAGATAAGTAATCTTATTTTTTTCTTCATATTTAACTTACCGGCTGCGAGCTAATCAACGGCGTATGGATCGGTTGCCGTGTCGTGGTAGCGGCTGTTGTGCTGGAACTGGAACCGGAGCCAGATGCTGATCCGGATGACGAGCGCGTGATGCCGGCAGAAGCGCGACTAACCCGTACGGATGACTCGCCACCGGCTGGATTGGCCACGGAGATAGAAACGGAAGCGTTGGGCGACAGGGGCGAAAACAAGTGTTCCGGTGTCAAGTTACCTTCGGAATCGTCGCTGGGCAGGGAGGATGGTGGCGTTAGCGGTATTCCATAGCCATGGGCATGCGATTTGCCCGAGCTATTGCTGGCCGTGTTCTGTTTCTCGCTCTTGATCTCCATTTTGGCCATCAGCAGATTGTCTTGTCCAAGGATCTGCTGTTGTCTCTGCTGGGACTTGATGAGGCTATTGTTATTGGAGGTCAGCAGAAGGCCACCGTGCTAAAAAAAAAATATTAGATAACATCATGATTATCTCCAACGAATCCACTAAGCAAACTCACCTTCGGTTCGAATAACAAATCCGATTGCAGGTGGGCCAGAGTAAGGCTGAGCTGGTGCTGTGAGCTGCTCGCTTGGGATGTGGGACTGGCGGGGCAGCTAGAGTCCGGCGACATGGGCTCATCTTTGATGGCCGACTCGTCGATCTCGATGTCAGAGCAAATGTCCGGGGACATGCTGCCTTCCCGCAACGATGACACCGACGAGCTGCAGTCGTTGTCGTACAGGTGTTGAGGTAGTTGAAAGTGCTCCAAATTGGCCACAACCACGTGGCTTGAACCGGATCCATGGTGTGACTGTTGATGGTGCAGGCCATTGGATCGCGTCAGTTCCGCGACGGAGGTGTTTAGGGCGGGATTGCTGCTCAGCCGGCTAATGGGCGTGGCATGCGTGGGCGGGACGTGGAAACTAAGGCGGTCAATGAGTCCGCGCCCACTAGTCGCCGTCTTCGGTGAAATGGCGGGATAGCACTCGTCGTCCATGTCTAAATTAGTACATAAATAAAAATTAGATATTAAAAATAAATTCTTAAATATGTATTTTATTTTTCATAAAAATTTGTTAGGACCTCTCTTATTTTTAATAATTTTTAATGTTTTTTTTTAAAAGAACTTAAAAGACACGTCATTCATTTTAACAGCACGCCGACAAGCCTGCGGTTGAGTAATAAAAGATCAGAAATCATTTTTGCTGAGTAAAAATAATTTAAGAAATTTTAAGCTTAAATTATCTTATAGTTTTTATATTCCTTATTACTTTAAACAAACAAATTTAAAGATTTTAAATATTTGAATAAATCCAGTTTAACTTCCATAACTTCCTTTGAAGTTGTTCTAATCAAAAACTAGAATTTTCTATCAATTCTGCGCTATCACTTTAATGGCTAGGCTTTGGCTTACGTCAATCAGGAATAATTTCTTAGTTAATTGTTATTTAAGCAAAAAAATAATTAGCTCACAGACTTCTTTACTCAAGCTCTGTTTTATTTTTTCGGCAGACAAAAAGCTTAATCAAATAGAGCAATATGTGGGCTAATATGTACCTACATATATGCTGGCCAAATATTATTGCCTCTAACCCACATTATTATGCAAGATTGGGTGTTCTATAGTCTGTAAGTAAGTAAATATCAGATCACTTTCCTTTGCCAGAGCACGCGTCAATTCCCCGAGCTGCACTTGTGTTTGCATTTGATATTCTGTTGTTTCAGTTTTTTATATATTTTCCCCCTTGCTAGTTCTCTCACCCCCTTGGTAACTCCACCAACGCTATAACTACAAAACATTTTTTTTTTTTCGTTTTTAATTTTATTTACACAGTTGTCGTACAGTTTCCATAAAATTACAAATAATAACAGCTCGAAAATGTGAACAACAAAAAAAAAAAAAACAAAAACAGAAACTAAAAAAAATGAGAAGCCCAGAACTCGGGCAGGGTAATTATACACAGTTTGCTGCCGCCATACATACGTACAGCTGATATCGCGTCAAAGTACAAAACTTCATGCACGAGTACTGCGTTAAATTGCTAAATGCTACCGCGACACTGCAAACAGAACAGAGCGGATCCGAAACGGTTTTTCAACTGTTATTCTTGTCAGCGTTGTTTTCACTATGTACATGGCCTAAATTAACCAACTGCCAACTGTGTTTGGATTGCTATTTGGGGTTTACACCCAGCAAGCCAGCTAGCCAAAAAAAATTAACTTGATCTACGTCTGGATGCAGTTGCCCGAAGTTATCGGTAATCGGTTTTGTTTTCCTCAAATATTGTGGATATTGTCAAAGTTATTACATAATAATAACATACGCAATGTAATATTTTAATATTCCACTTAGAATTCATAATTTTACATAAAATATATAAAGAAATATATATCTGAATGATCTGAATGAAATTTATCGATAAACCAAAATTGTTAAAAAAAAGTGTGCACACTCTCAGATAATAAAGAAGTTTTTCCTTTTCTATTTTTATTAAGAATTATATCAAAATATTATTTAAGAGGATTTAAGAGTTATCGATAACACTACGCGTTCTTTTGCCAGCTTTAACATTTATTAATTATTTTCCAAACTTAGCATTTCGTTGAATGTTCTAAAATAGTTTTAAATAATTATGAAAATTAAATCGATAAGTTATAGATTATCGATAACCGGATCTCGATAAGGACACTAAATTAGATAAGTTCCAAAATAACAGTGCTTTTTTGAAAACATCAAAAGTAAAAGAGGCCCTTATAACATACACATAAAGCTTATATAGTTCTCCGATAACTTACCCTCGATCTTGGCCTGGAGGCTTTTTGGTGAATCGGGCAGGGAGTCAACGTCGCTGCTGAGGCTGTAGGAGTGCTCCGTCTTGATCGGCTGTGTGCCATTGAGCAGGGCATCCGAGATGAGCTTGTCGTTGAGTATGACGGTGGGATCTTTGACGTCCCGATCGAACAGCCAGTCGTGCATATCGTGATCGGGGCTAATTTTCAAGGATTCCTGTTTGCAGGGCAAAAAAAAAAAAAAAAAAAATAGAAACAAACAAATGGTTTGCAATTAGTAAATGTACAAAAGTCATTCATAGTCGTGTTGCACAGCGATAGCACGCTTATATAATTAGAAACAAAAAAACTGAATGCGAAAACAAAAAGTACAATTGCCATACACCCAAAGTACTTTAACGTACCTATATATATACGACCTATGGCAAAATCACACGAGAATCGCAAACCCAAAACGCAACATGCGCCATGCAGATAGCTCAAAAGTAGCAACAAAAACTTCTGCTATATACTATATACTATATATTAAAACTGATTTGATTTGATTTTAGAAGTATGAGTATATATATATATAGATCAGATCCCAACTGGCCCCTATGCATATGGTATGGCTATGCAATATATTTCTGTTGTCAATCTTATCAGAAGACATTTAGACCATTCGACCGACCATGCTCGGCGATTCGGACGTACCCTTGAAATAATAATAAATTGTTGTTCCTGCTATTGTTGTTGTTGTTGTTGTTGGACTTTCGGTGGCAATCAGTAGAGAGAGGAAACCATTTTTAAAAGTTATCAATCGTTAAGTCATTATTTTTGGTAAACCTGCAAAATCAGTGGTGGGAATATTTCCAGCCTAGGTGGGCCAGCAAATGCTTCTGGGTTGGGTAATTGGTACTCCAATTTTATTAGCTTCGAGTAAAGGTATTTTCAGATAATTAAAGGTATGCTAATGCCTAATCAGGTAGGTACTTTAGCTTAGTAGAAGCAAAAAGGTAGTGTTATTAGTTAGTTTGTCAAGTTGTTTGTTAAGTTTAAGAGCGGTTTTTTTTATGATGAAATTACAATTTCTAAAGGAAGTTAATCGATTTTCATCATAGAAGTTTTATTAAGGTCAAAAAACGACTTTATCAATGGAGGAGATAAGACTCTCTAAGATAGATAATCCTAAAGGATCTATTAAAAGCATTTTAAAGGTCATTGCCCATTCCCCATAACCATTAAAGTTGCCAATCGTGTTTTGTCGTAAGTTGTTGGCACAAATTTAAATTAAGACTCGCTTGGAGTTTTGACTTTGCAAGAGTGTAATTAATTATAATGAACGAGCCCAGTGTTAAGTGTTTTTTTTTTTTCGATGCTGAGAGTTAAGATGAGTGCTACCTAAAACCAACCTTGGAGATCACTCAGAATCACAATAAAAGTGCAGCACAAATAACCTAAACGAGTTCTATTCCATTGCCGCCAAAAAAGCAAAAACCAAATGGTATAATGTTGCTGAGACAGCTCCAGAATATATAAATATATATATTATATATATCTTTTAAGCCAGCCCCACGATGATGTAATCCCGAATGTGCCAGATTTTTTTTTTTTTTCGGACTGGATTCGCTTAATTGTCGCCCGGCAATCTACGGCAATAAATTGCTGACCCATTTAAAGGCGGCATTCTGTGGCAAATATGCACATGGATACGGACTACTATATATTCAAGTGAGTGAGTGACTGACTGACTGTCTGTCTGTCTGTCTGTCTGTCTTTCTGCGATAAAGAAGTGCATGTAATTACGCTTTAAAAACACATTTGTATGTAAAATCCCATTCGAGCCCCACCTCTCTAACTCACCAAACAGTTCACATTCTAAGCCAAAAACCAAAATGGAATCCAGTTTTGGCCATAAAAAAAACAGAAAGAAATAAGGGAACGTCGTCGAAGTCGTGTGTAGATATGTAAACAGGTATGATTCTTCCCGATTCTTTAGCGGGCTCTTCGGTTCTTTAAATTCTTCAAATACTTTGGTTTTCTTCCACCTAACCGTAAGTCTAAACATTGATTACCGTTTGTAAGCATTTGATTGGTTTAAACTGTTAACTACAAACGAGGGTGGTTTAATGGCAGAAATGTCAATGATCACTCTTTACTTAACTAGTTTTTATTATTAAATTTTACCCCTCTTTAACTTTAAATATTTTCTTGTTTATATACAAATTTCTCTTCTTTCTAGTCGGCCTACTTCTTGACTTGATTAATTCCCATAAATCATAAACTCTCCAAACACATAAAAGTTTCAAATTTTTTAGCCAAATTAAATCGTAGAAATCTTAGAAAAAAGATAAACAAAGCTGTAACCACAAATTAACTTAAAAGCTTTAAAAAAACTTTTAAAATAAAAACAAGTTTTTACTTTTCAAAGTTGCCACTTCAATATGTCAAAAAAAAGTAACATAAAATTCATTTTAAATTTCAAGCTGTGAACTATTCGAATTTAAGTTTATTTAACAAGCAATAAAATGTATTTTTTATAGTTAACAAAATGCCTAATTTTCTTTAAATGTTATATTAAAAAATTCAACTGATATTTAAGTTGTGATAAAAAGTTGTTTTTCTTAAGGAATTTAACAATAATTTTGTAAAACTGTTAATTTGGCACTTAAAGTTGGTTAAAAAATTGCTAATTACAGCTTATGAGATTACTAAGTTTTACCTAAATTTAAGCTTAAATACCTTCCAACCATTGATTGAGGATTTGTCAATATTTAATAACAACTTGTAATTACTATTTATTTTACAACTTGCATTTAAGGAAACTTAAAATTAGCTAGTAAAAACATAAAAAAAACTCTTGCAGTAATTAAAAAAAAAATTGGCAAAAAAATTTGGCAAAGAAAGTGCGATAATAGCCAGAGGTTTCTCTTGGCCAAATGATTTTTCGGCCCCCCCTGTAATTCACAAATTCTGAAAGCCAACGAAAGTATGGAATAACCGAGAATTAATGATCCGCCCATTATGCTAATACTCGTGGGCCGTCCCTCGCATTTTTTTTTTTTTTTTTTTTTGATTTCATTTCATTTCGATGGCCAGCCAGCATAATGCATTAAAATACAAATACACCAAGTGCTTTCTCCGCATTTTGGCCGTTGCCATATATCGGGCCAAAAAGAAGAAGAATCGGTAGGGTATATATATATATATAGTATATACTACTTATAAGCACCGAGAAGCGTAAATAAAATGTGAGGAGTGTGCGTGCCAGCCCGCAGAGTGTGTGTGTGTGTGTGTGTTTATGATGAGTTCAACGAACCTCGGGAATTGTTGAGAATTAGCAATTCTTGAAAAATGCTACCAAAACGGGCAACACACACACACATACACACACCTGTACATTTGGATACAGAACACAGATACCCAGCCAGGCAGTCGTACAAACAAATACCCATACAAATATTTATATGTATGTTTGTGGCCGATGATGAAAGAAAGAAGAAAGCCAAGCCAGGAGAGAGAGAAAGAGAAAGAGAGAAAAAGACGGCAAAAATGCTCAAAGGCATTTGCTACCTCTTTTGTTAGCTGCTGCGGATCAGGTGGGGGCATCGTGCTCAGGAGTTGGGCCACTACACAGCGGGAAATAACATATTGCAATTCCTTATCTTGATCCTCTCTCTCTTATCTTATCTTTAGCTCAGGTTTAGCCATCTCAAATCATATCTTATAATAACAAACACTGCCCCCCCATATCTTAGATAACTTTTGTTTATTTTCAATTCTATTTTTATATCCGTTCGTTCGACTTGCAAATCTTATCAATTTCAAAACTCAAATCTAAGCCATTCTAGACAGTAAACTAGCTAACAAAAACGACGAATGCCACAACGACCTTGCGGGAAAATAGTGTAAATCATAAAGTAAATATTATTATTAAGTACTTAAGATGATTAACTCCAATGAGGTTGTTAATGGGTTTTTAAACTTCTTTAATGATACTTGATGGGAATTTTAAAAATAAATATTTGAAGTTAAAAGAAGTAGTTAAACCTTTAAACTTAAAACAAAAGTCAACGGTTATACTTCCAAAAATTAAACTCCAATATTTTCAAACCTAACACCATTTTTTATTCAAATTTCTACCTGGGCAAGCTAGTACTTTTACCATTTATGAATTTAAAATAAATATTCAAAATTATTATGCAATCTTATTAGGCTATTGACCATTTCCTATCAACATTTTTTCCGTGTGCACCTGTAGCACTGTTTTTGGTTGCACGTTTCAGGTGGGCCTGTGCCTCTTTCCCACCGATGTGGTGTGTGTGTGTGTGTGTTCCAAACGAAAGCGCGGCGGCACCGGTGAAATGGCTAAGGGCGCCTTCTCAAGTGGAAAGCGTTGTGGTAAGCAAGATGCTCGACTTCGACTTGGAGTTGGAGTTGGAGTCGAAGTGCTGGGTACGTTGAAGTGCCTCTTAGGCCACAAAAACCGCTTGAATGCGGCTAAGCCCGACTTGAGTTGGCCTGCCAGCCAGCAATCGATTGCCTAACCACCATTCGGCGGAGGAGCCTGTGAAATGCAATCATTTGACCCCATTTCGTTGGCAATTCAAGTCAAGAAAAAAAAAAGAAAAGAAAAGGAAAACCTGTTGCGCCGTCGCTTGAATGTCACGTGCAGCAGAGAATGGTTCTCTTTACTTTTTTTTTTGGTTTTCTTCAGGTGTCTCTCGCACTCACCCTGTCACCTGGGAACCCAATCAAGCACAGCTACTTTGAAAACGATAAAGGTAAAACAGAAACAGAAAAAAAAAACAAAATCAAAATCAAAATAGCCGCCGGAGGGGTTTTTCTTTATCTTACGGCATTAAATTAACATACATATATGGGTGTTGGTGTTGCCGGGTCCCCAGGTTTAGCCATTATACAATTTTATTCAAATTTCCAGTCTTTGAGTCTTCAGAGTCTTTAGTCTTTCTTCCCGAAAAATCAACAACAACAACGTCAGGAAAGGGTGAAAAAGAGCCACAAACATACAATTTCATAAAAAATAATTAAACTGGTTATAGTTTTTTTTTTTTTTTTTTCAGCTTTGGTTTGGTTTCTCCTCTTTCCTCTTTCTTTCCACCTCTACATCTCCTTTGGGCTTTTATTTTTTAATTTTTTTTCACCTTTTTTGGCTGTTTTGTCTATACATTTTTTTTTTCGATTTTTTTGCTTGCTCCACAATTTGGATTGATTAAA